TGTAAACCAAAAATAAATTGGTTTGGAAGTGCGAACTATGACAGCATCAGTGGCTGTGTCTTATTCTCCAGACTGAAAAGAGAAGATGGAGTCTTGCATGTGATCATCGTCATCGTATTCTCATCATCAGCTGGTCCTTGTTTTTGTATGAAACAGATTTGTGTAATAACAGAACAAAAGCTTGCACACCTCACCTGCATCCAGACATCAACACAGCAGTATATCAACTCCTGGGACCAGTGTTCCTTGCCTTTGGCCACTGAGTTGTTTGTTGAGCTGGTGCCTGCTGCTTTTTGTTCCTGGTGAAATTCATAGAATAGTGATGCAGCTCTGTTGAACCCATGGCTAAACCCCACTTTGCCCACGCTGACTAGTAAATAGTTGGTACCTGGAGGGGTTCACTGCCTTTTATATTTGCTCCACTTCTGCTTTATGGCTGGTCAGGGAGCTTAGTTTGTCTTTTTGTTTGGCTATGTAGTTCAAGTGAGTTTTAATTTGCTAGTGGTTTTGTTTATTATTCTGGCCTTGACCATGACACCTTATTTGCTTCCTGTTGATTTTTTAGTTGAGTTTATCTGTTTATAATTTTCTGCAAACAAAACATGTGCTCCAGCAGCTCTTCTTTCTGTCATTTTGGTCCAATATTTGCAAAAGATTTGGATGGTTACTGGTTACTTCCTGTGTCTCTCTGGACATTGAGTAAAGGTCGTAAGAAAGGGTTAAGAGTGAAAATGTTGCGACAACTGTTGGATGGATTGTCATCCGATTTGGCTTCATGGTGTTTGTTAACTTTGGTGATTCCATACTTTCCATCTAGTGCTCTTATTGCAGCAAGTCATTCTGTTTTTTGGTGTGGTTTTCTTTACAGTGAGCCTCATAAAGCCACAGGACACTCCAAGTATGGTTTAAATCTGTCTCTTGCGAGTTACAATACCAAATTGGTCTTTTTTTATTATTATTATTTATTTATTTTTAAATTTTGCAATTGCAATTCCGGTTACTCTTATTATAGTTATTAATCATTACATTTCTAAGGATACAAAATAGTAATTCCAGATACCATTTCTTATCATAAATCAAAAACATTTAGGATATTCACTGTAAAGACATCTCTCATTAGGAGATTGTTTTCAGGTCAGAAAGCAGCTGGAGCTGATTCTGATGACTTTACCGTAGGAGCTGCTGGTAAATGTGTGTCAGGTGAGGACTTCACAGTCAGTGTGTTGTTCTTGTCTTTCACTTTACTGTTACAGCCACACCTCCAGACTGAAGGTCAGAGTTCATTGTTATGGTTACCAGCTGTGTGTATAATTCATGCAGGGTTGGTCGTAATGTTGATGACCAGCGGCTTACAGGAGACGAGATGAGTCAGGCCAACTCAGCTGTTAGTAACTCTGTCGGTCTGTGTTACAGTTATTGACGCAGGCCTTGTTACAGAATACACACGCGACAGCTTTTTGTTTGCGGTCTGGCCAATTTTGATTGCATTATGTATAGCAAGACATCTGATAAGCCCAAGATCACAGCCACTGGAAATGGCCTCAAATGGCACTGGACAGTCGAATAAGGAACCTGCGATCTGATACTGCAGCAGCAAGCAGCAGGCTTACCCACGCTGGCTGTGTTGCTCTTTCTCATGCTCCTCTTTCCTCCCCACTTTACAACATTTACTTTGCTAGTGTTTTTCCTTTTGAACATGAGCTCACATTTTCTCCCTGAGCTTCTGTCTGATGTTGAAGCTTACAGAAAAGGGAGCAAACAAACAAACAAGCCAGAAAACATGAACATGCAGTTTGTATGATTCTCGTGAAAAGACAAATACAACAGCTGGAACCTGAGCTGACTAATGATGTACAATGAAAAGTGGCATTTTTCATCAATGTGTGTATAGAGGAATATCACCAGATTTTAACATTCAAATACTGTAGCTTTATCATCTCCAGGATTACTATGACAACTATCACTAGCTCTACATCAGGGGATGTTAAGCTACATTAGTGAGCACCTATTGTGTGCTGCATCTCTTTATGTCATTGTAAGCAATGTTATCGCTGGCTCTACATTTGCAGATTTTAAACTGCATCAGTGGCTCTCCCATTATCTGAAATGTCATGTTACCATTATGCCGATGTATGGTAGCTCATTAGAGGACAAACCGTGCAAAAAGGGGACGTGCTCAGGATTTTCTCAGAGGGATTTGAGCAGAGTGGAATGACTGTACCAGGTTCATTTGAATTTAAAATGTAATTGTTTTCAGAGTGACTACAGACTGTACATCAGCATGATTCAGTCAGACAATTCTCTGATTTAGACAAAGAGAAAAATTTTGTTATAGTTTAGCATCCTGAAGTATGTTTTGTATAGCAGTGTCTTGCAGAAAAACATACCTGGACATGGACTGGTTTAACACATAAGGAATAATTTTGATGTCTACTGTACAGTAAAATGTACAGAAATAAAGATATAATATTAATCATAGTCCACCTAAAATAAACATAATCTTGGGTCATAGAAAATTGATCTTGAACAGTTGTTAAGATACTGATTGTCTGTTAGATTATATACACTCACCAGCCAGTTTACCAACACTGGTGACTGTGGAGGCCATTGGAGTACAGTGAACTTATTGTCATGTTCAAGAAACCAGTTTGAGATGATTTGAGCTTTGTGACATGGTGCGTTATCCTGCTGGAAGTAGCCATCAGAAGATGGGTACACTGTGGTCATAAAGGGATGGACACAGTCAGCAACAATACTCAGGAAGGCTGTGGTGTTTAAACCATGCTCAGTTGGTACTAAGGGGACCAAAGTGTGCCAAGAAAATCTCCCCCACACCATTACAACACCACCACCACCAGCCTGAACCATTGATACAAGGCAGGATGGATCCATGCTTTCATGTTGTTTACACCAAATTCTGACCCTACCATCTGAATGTGGCAGCAGACTCATCAGACCAGGCAACATTTTTCCAATCTTCTATTGTCCAGTTTTGGTGAGCCTGTGTGAACTGTAGCCTCAGTTTCCTGTTGTTAGCTGACAGGAGTGGCACCTGGTGTGGTCTTCTGCTGCTGTAGCCCATCTGCTTCAATGTTGGATTTGTTGTTGGTTCAGAGATGGTCTTCTGCAGACCTTGGTTGTAACCAGTGGTTATTTGAGTTACTGTTGCCTTTCTATCATCTTGAGCCAGTCTGGCCATTCTCCTCTGACCTCTGGCATCAACAAGGCATTTTCACCCAGAGAACTGCTGCTCACTGAATATTTTCTCTTTCACGGACCATCCTTTGTAAACCCTAGAGATGGTTGTGTGTGAAAATCCCAGTAGATCAGCAGTTTCTGAAATACTCAGACCAGCCTGTCTGGCACCAACAACCATGCCACGTTCAAAGTCACTTAAATCACATTTCTTCCCCATTCTGATGCTCGGTTTGAACTTCAGCAGGTCGTCTAGACCATGTCTACATGCCTAAAGACATTGAGTTGCTGCCAGGTGATTGGCTGATGAGCTATTTGTGGTAACAAGCAGTTGAAGGGGTTAGCTGATTAATCGCTGAAAAGAAAATTAATTGACAACTGTTCTGATAATTAATTAATCCTTTAAGTAATTTTTTAAACAAAAAAAAAACTCAAACATTTGATGGTTCCAGGTTCTCACGTGTTTTACATTATAGTAAATTGAATATTTTGGGGTTTTGAACTGTTAGTCACACAGAACAAGACATTATTGACGGCATTGTGGGCTCTACAGTAGGATATCGTGATGGAGCATGAGTCACTGTTTTATGAGACTAAACCATAAATTAAGAATATAATAGGCTGATTAATATATGATGAAAATAATTGTTAATTGCAGCCCTAATCTCAGTTTCTTCTGAATGTTTTAGGTTTAACAAAGAATGACAGAGCCAAGCCCCACTGGAATAATCCCTGTGATATTGTGTAATTCTTAGTCCCAGCAGTTCATGAATGGCTTTACTTTTTTTTGGCCCTGAACCTGCGGCGATCTTGTCACCACAATATTTAGCAGGAATCCGCCCCGTGGAGCCTCTGGAGTTCATACACGACTCCTCAGCTGATTTCACCAGCTGCCTCTCCCTCAAGTTTTTTTTGTCTTGACCTTGACTTTCTCTAAGTACATGCTTACGTCTGTCGGATTGGCTGCCCTCCAGATACTGCTGATGTCTAACAGGCAGATGCCTTGGGAGTTCCAGCTGTGATCGAGATTTTATTGTCTCTGCTCTACAGGAGCTTTCACTCGTCTCTGAAAACCAATGAACCTCTAATCTACAGCAGAGCTCCCTGTGTTCTAACTACTTATTTATGTGCTGTTTATTTGGCACATTAGCATTCGTTTTTCATCCACCACCAGTTACACAGGTTACAAATTGATTACAAGTTGAGAGAAGAAAAACAACTTTATAAACCTTAACATAATGTGACTGGCTCTTAAAGACTTTTAAATTAAAGGTATAAACGTCTCAGAGGGTATTAGGTGGGCGTTTTAGGTTCAAGAGTCGGAGCTACATCTTGCTTTCCAGCCATCGAAGCATGAAATTGAATTTGTCCGTGGATAACTGCTGCCACCTAAAGTTCAGAGGGCTACCCATATGTGTATGTAGCTGAGGGTATCTGCAGATTTTATAAATAGATTAACTTGCTTCAGTGTAAACCATCGCTGTTTTTCAGACTGGCTTCAAACAAAAAGTCCACAATCATGAAAAACACACGTTTACCTCAGATTTGTTTAGAGAAGCACATGTAACCTGGAAGTACCTGGTGGATAAGTTGTCTCACGCTGCATGACTACCACTGAAGCATGAAATTGAAATTATTGATGGATACATTTTGACACCAAGAGGTCAGACAGCCACAATGAACTGCATGTATACCTGAGGCCGTTTTGGTAGCGGAGCAGACCTGCTTCTAAAACATTATAATTATATACTGTATAGCAGTATAAGGTACCTGTATTTATAATACATACAACAGCACACAAGGCATACAATCAAAAACTTTCAGTTTTTAATCACTTTAATTACAAAACTGTAATTATATTGTTAAGATTTTCGCTCTCGTGTGTACGACTATCCTCGTAGACAGTCCTCCATAGCTTGCAGCTCCTGTAATTCATAACAGTGAGGGCCACAGTGAAGGCAGAGGAGCTGTCTGACCTTGGGGATGACAGAGAGGGCCGGGCCTCTGGCACCACTGAGAGAGGGAGAGAAGAGAGACACAGCGCTGTTATTTCTACTAATAATGTCAGTCAAATATATAAAATACTAGGACACATTTACCATCAGACATTCAAAATGACATGCCCTGAAAATCTTCCCTCGCTGTCTGTACAACTCACTCACCCATTGAAGTGCAGCTGAGATAATTTGAAGAGTTGTCGACCCAATTCGATGCTGTCTTCTCCGTACTGGGAGCTGATAGCTGCAGCACTTTTCTCCAAACAGGAGGCTGCATTGTTCCAGTCACCTACAGGACCAGCAGAGAAGAAACAAAGCATTAAGAGGACTGCGATGGTCATGACTAAGAGCTAAAGGTCATCATGATTAATCTGACAATCCACAGAGTCTGACAGTTCTGTTACTGGCTTCTTGGCTTTGACTACATACCTAACGTAAACATGATTTAAGAATAGGAGCTGATTAGCACAACAACATGTAGCCGATCACCACTGTGTTTGTTCAGTAGCTTCTACTACTCTTATTTTCAAGTCTGCTACAGTACCAAGGTTTGGGAAAAGTGCAGGGTGGTTATTTCTGACCTAAAAATAAGCCTTCCAAAGCCACACTGCTGCTCGGGCAGATACTATTTACATTTTCTCATGTCTGCTAAAAGTCACACAAAGTTACAACTTAGTTTTATAATCATATTTAAAGTTTGCAAAGATGTTGCTTGATACAGTTTGTGTTACACTGTGTTCCTGTTACTGAAAAAAACAAAAACATTGCTATCACCAATGTGGTACATTGGTATGAAAAGTGAATCAGTTCTTCCTTAACCCTTTAGTAGTTTTGTCTGCTGTTTGTTAAAGTGCTCTGTTGAAGTATGTTAAGCCTAACAAAATACCAGCCAGACCTTTTTTTAGGCGGCAACCTTCCAGGGAGTTTCATTAACATGCTCAACCAATCAACTGAGTGGCCCGTTAAAGGTCCAGTGTGTTGGATTTAGCTGTATGTATTGGCAGAAATGGTTTATAATATTCATAACAGTGTTTTAATTAGTTTATAATCACCTGAAAATAAGAAGTGTGTGTTCGTTACCTTACAATAAGCCATTTCTGTTTAACATACAGAGTGGGTCCTCCTCCACGGAGTCCGACATGTTATTCTACAGTGGCCCAGAACAGACAAATAAAACACTGGCTCTAGACTGGGTCGTTCGCATAGCCGCCAAAGTTGTCCTACACACTTGGCACACGGGAAACGTTTAAGTTCTGCAACTTTGAAGCGTAGTAAAATTTTATATAAATAACTTTGTCATATTTGCTGAAACTTTCACTTTATCCTGACAGTAGTGCACGAAATCGATAATCTGTGTAAAATGTCACATTCCTCTGCCTCCACAAAAACCAATCAGAGCAGAGGAGTCTCTTTGTTTTTGTTCGACTATAACCAACATGGCCGCTGGGTCAGAAACTTTATCATTTCACAGCTAAACAGTACACTAAAATAGAACTGAAGTGAGAGACAGGCAATGCAGTAACAGAATCTTGATTCATAATTGATCAATGCTGCCTAGTTTGACAGTTTGACTGCAGTTCACGAGCAGCGATTGACATGATTGACAGCTGCGTTAGAGACTCCTCGGCTCTGATTATTTTTTGTTCAGGCACTGTGGATCCTTGCTAATGCCATTAGGAGCACTAGGAGTGGGCAGAGGAATATGAGTTTTTCACAGATTATCTGTTTCATGTACTTTTGTTAAGCTATAGTGACAGTTTCAGTAAATATGACTTATTAAATGAAGTTTTATGCAAGTTAGCAGCTGTGGCTTTAATGGTAAAAGTGCACCCTTACCACATGAAACAGTAGGGGTGTATTAACCACAGAGCTCATATGCAAATCCTCATGCATTATTAGTCTCACCCATCGTAGCATATGCTCTAGCTGTGGCATCTGCCAGCTCCCCTTGTAGAGGGTGTGTTTCTGCAAGGATCAGTTCAGACTGACTCTGGGTCCTTCTCAACAGTCTGAGAGCCTCATCTGAGGGAGCAAAAGAATAATATGGAGATGTAACAAAGACCTTCTGAATAAATTACAGTGATACATTACTGTATCTGCATTTTAATGTAGGTTTTCACAACCACCTGGCCTCTCTCTTTCCATGAAGTCCACAGCCTTCTCCAGGTTGACCCTGATCTCCTGCAGCTTGTGGCTCACTTCAGATAAAGGCATGCGACAGCCACAGGATGAACATATGAATTCTTTTCCTCTGTTCTCGCTGCTTTTCTGAAAATCACATGAATAATAATCAAATAGTTAAGATGGAACAGTTGTAATCTAAATCTCTAAAGAGGAATTTATTAATAAGTAATACAATTACTAATGCATTTTTGTATTAAAAATCGCCTACTTTAAGAGATCCTTTGCACTTGGAACACAGAAGTCCAGAGTGTGGACTGCCTCCAACACCCGACCACTGCTGTCTGCCCTCTGAACCCTCCTCCGCCTCCTCATCCTGCAGCTGCTGAACAGTGCAGGCTTCACACTGACACATGAAATAGTACTGCTCCTGCAGGACACGCTGGCGTTGTTGGGTGGCCATTCTACTGCTGTGAGGACCTAAGGGAGGATTGTGGTTGATAACAGCACAAGTTATAACTCACAAGAAGACAATTAACAATGAGACACTAATGTCAGTGGAGGGTGCTTTAAATGCTGCATCAGGATTGGCTGACAGACAAAATGAAACACACTACATTAACAAGACAAAGTTTAACATTTTCTTACCATAGCAGTGCAGGATCTCTTGTCCAGGAGTGATAACTTTGGCTGCTCGGACAGTCACAGTGACTCCACAGGCTGTATGTCTGCTCTTAGCTACACTCTCATTCAAGTCTGCAGACGGATCTGAACCAGGAGGATCAGCGCCAGCTCCAGTTCTGAACACCAAACTGGTGTTGGGACAGCAGGAGTGATTCAGAAGACTGAGAGTTGGAAATATTGCTGTAGCAATGCGGATTTCCCTACTGGACTGCACTGGTGTGTTTGCTGCTCCTGTGAAATGTAAGAACCAGAAAGTAAAGATCATTTTGCGACTCAAGAAAATTCATAGCTGAAGATGCATTTATTACAAAAGCATACATTCTTCTCAAGTGGACTGAACTGAAGTTTAAGCATGGATACAACTACAGCAGACCTTAATCAATTAGTCAATCACCAGAAAATGTATTGACAACAGTTTAGATGAACACTAGAATAAAATGACCCAAATTCACTCATCCTAATGTCTCAAATGTCTTAATTTTCTATGATAATAAACTGAATACATTTGAAATTCGGACACTCAAGACTAAACGAGGGAACTAACTGCTTTCATGTTTCTAACTTTGAGACAAAGTCATGATTTTCTATTGTGATAAAACTCAGTTTAAGGCAAACACTTGGGAGTCACCTGTATCTTGCAGCATGGTGATTGCCTGGGCGTTACACCTCAGCTGCATTAAGTGCCTCAGAACTGCACTTCCCAGCAGCCACAGCTCCGAGCTCCAACCTGCTGTACCTCCCTCCTCATCTGGTGATTGGCTGTTTGCCCTTAAGGGTCTACTAAGGTCCAAAGATGCAGGTGAAGGTCCTGCCTTGCTGAGCTTTTGGTAGAGAGTTGCTATGGTAACCGCACACAGGAAACGCACACTGAGGCTATGGCGATTCAGGTGGTGCTGTAAGTGAAACACGCTCGAGTAAGAGTCACCGTGGTATGAAGCAAAAGGAACGGGCTGATTTGAATGACGTGGACGGGAATCACTGGACTCTCTGTTGAGACAGCTCAGCTCTGGCTGCATGTGCTCGTCTCTGTTTGGATCCCTGGCCATTTGGATGTTTTTTAAACCCGCCTTTAGCGCTACCCTCAGGGCGAGCTGTGACATCACACCCATCACCATCAGATCTGCTGCCAGTGGACACTCCCAGCGGTGATGTTCCTCCCAGGCGTCTCGCTGACAGGAAGTTGAACAGTATTGGCTGTAGCTACACCTCTCACATGGCACAGGGCACAGTGTTTCAGTCAAACACCTGTGACAGCGCCTGTGCTCCACTCCAAGCAACACTCCCTTTTCTACATCCTGCCTTCCTCCCTTCCCTTTGACCTCCTCCATCCCTGGTATAAGCACACAGCTGTATGGCCTTTCATGAAGGATCACCTCCCCAGCTGCTATCCTCTCTGCAGCCACAAGGTGTCGCCCTTTCTCCGGGCTGAAGCCAACAGCAGCTTGAGGACAAATCCCAAATGTGAGAGGTTCCACAGATGCCCTTTTTACTTCATCTGGGTCTTTACATTTCTTTGAGGCAGGACTGTGATGATCCTCTTTTGCATTTTGACCTACAGAGAGGTGCTTGAGGCACTGTGTGCGACGGTCCTCTAGTTTATGCAAAAGATGAGAGGGATAGCCACTCTTTAGAGCTTTGTCAATGTCATCAAGGGATTCCTGAGGGGAAATACAAAGAAACACAGCAGTGTGAGCCACTAAAAAAGTAGAGATTATGAGAAAAACACAAAAATGACTGACATTTTAATATGTCATAAGTTTAAGTCAGCATTTTAGCTTCAAGACAAGAAAGATGAAGAAATAAGAATGCTAAGAAAGGAATGATAAAGCCATTTCTGTGGGACATTCACTGAGAAGTAGCCATTGTGGCATAAGCTGTGGCAGGAGCTTCATACTGATCCATTAAAACTTCAAAAGGCAACTGAATAGATGATTATCCTGCACACTTCAGATTTCATCTGCAGAGTCATTCAGCCCTACACAAGTACTATCAAACACACATAAAAGAATGTAATGTATCCGACTTGCTTCATTAGAGTCCAAGAAATTAAACAGTGAAACAAGGCTGAACCAATTAGCCAATCATCAGGTTGACAGTCTCCAATAAAATGAGACATTAAAGAAAATGAGTCCCTGACATCTACAATATCTCTTAATGATATTTCATCGGCTCCTGTAAAAAGTTGCTGCAGTGAAAACAGGCTAAATGACAGTGACACATACTGTATGTCCTGTCCTGTGGGGGAACAGCAGCTTCCTGACCACAATATCTGCAGACAGACCAGGGTCAGAGCTAAATGCTTGTCTTCCAATCATATAAACTGCATGTTAAGCATATGCGGATATTGTTTACATAGAATTACACATAATTAAACATAATAATTTTCTTCCTGCAGTGAAATGCTTTCCAATTCAATCACACAATGATGAGGCAATCTGTTAGGTGCCTACAGGCTCATTTTCAGACAACAAATAAGGACCAGATCTGGTTTAAACAGGTTTTTATGATACCACATGTCCGACACCAGCTCATGATTTAGTTGTTGAAGATGGTGCCATCTCACCTGGTAGTGCTGCAAATGGTAGAGCGCAGCAGAGCGGTTGGCATAACACAGAGACAGCTGCTCTGAACTTAGAGGAGCAAAACACATGCCCTGTCAATGGGAGACAGAGAAGCTGGATGTTAATGTGTATTAATTAGGACTTTAAGGAATTCTGCTACATAAATCCAGATGTGTTTTACCAACTGTTCTGAGAATATGAACAATTATTTTAAAACCAGTTTGCAGTGATATTATTGCCATCATTTTTTTTTTACATTACATTATAGCTACAGCCATAAGATAAAGGACTAGAGTGGTGTCCTTTTTCATAATCACTTCACCTGTGAATAGTGCAAAGCAGCTGCAGTGTAGTCTCTGGTCTTAAAGCTAGAGTTGCCCTTCTCCCTGCATTTGGCTGCTTGCTCTGTGTCCTTGTGTACAGAGTATCCTGCAGAGATGGACTGCAGCAAGTCCAGGTCATCTTGGCTGTAAAATACAAAAAGACAAATTACAGAGAAACCTTCTCTATGACCAGCAACTGAAATAGTGTTTAAATGTTCCCCAGAAGAAGCTGAGGTTTATTTTTTATATTCCTAGACTAGTTCTGGAAACCTGTGTTCATTTTAGCCAAGTATGCGGAAGTGGGTTCAAGTGAAAACAAGATGGCTGATCAAAAAGGTGTGCTTTAAATACTCAATGGACCTTTATTTAGATTATAAAGTGGTCTCAGGCTGATCAGATGCTGCACCCACGAGCACCAAACAAAAGTACGCTAAGCTAGCTACTCACGTTGTCAGAGATAGGGCACATTTGAAAACATCATCGACTTCAAGCAGGGATGTAAACTTGTCCTGTAGCTCGGAGTCGAGCCCAGTCCATTTCTGGGCAACATGATCCTGCCACTGGACGCACGGAAGATCCATCATGAACTACAAATAAACCACATGGCAACTGGAGGACAGTTTAGGGTTTGTTTTGGTGTCACGCCTGCTCGCTGCAGAGAACAAGCTAGCGTGGGTGAATGGAGAGTTTCCGAGTAGAACCTTCAAAATAAAAGCCGCACCGTTTAAACACATTGCTTTTCAATTAAAATCCGTCTCCAAATTTAAGGTTTGAGAAAGGTTACCTTTATTGTAACGCATTATCACGAAGCTTACAACAAAACTTTTCCTTCAGGCCGTAAAAATGTGCTTATTTGGAGGGTGAATTTTAATTTTCATAGGGTAGCGACTAAGTTATAGCTCACATTCCTGGGAATGTGTATCCTACTTGTTAAAAACATATCCAGAATGTTTCGTTCATGCATCATTAAACGTTACCTTACGTTTTTAAGTTAACTTTCATTTTGTCATCACGTCTGCCCTGAGAATGTCCACAATATCCTGATCGTATATACTTTATTTTGAAGTCACACCTTTCCCAAATCCGGTGTTTTTGCCGAATGTTACTAAAATATCGCTTGTTTCGTTTCTCTCGCGATAACTTCCGCACCTTTGCCGTGGCAGTATATATGAGCTAAAGTCTGCTGGATTTGAGAGCTACTTTAAACGGAGGCCATGAGTTTAAAACTCACACAAGGGGCAGTTGAAGTAAGTAAGAATATCGATATAAGCGAATTGCTGTTTTTTTCCTCTCTTGCCTCGATGTCTCGTCGCTTGTATTTAGCGACGTAGCTCTGCTAGCTGCAGCTGTTAGCACTGTCAGCTAATGAGGTTTGGTGCGTTTAGTGTCACAGCTGACTCTACAGAACCATAAACAGAGCACACTGTTTAAAGTTTAAACCTTGCTGTTGTTTGAAGCCTAATAGTAAGTTTATTTGATAATGAGGGGGGATAAATGTAGGCGTTTTCCTCATTTATTAAAAACGCAGAACAGTGCATTAGTTGTGTGGTTTGACTGAAATCTTGTCATACCAATTCCTCCCACTGTCCCAAACATATGGGGTCCAAATGAAAACAACAGAGCGGTCTGGTTATGTTCATAATGTTTACCTGCTAGGGGCGGCACCAAATAATTGCCACCTCATTAACCTCCAGTCAATGTTGGTCTGTAACTTTGCATTAGTGGCATGTTAATGTGATGGGACAGGATGGGGTCAGGCAGGGGATACTAACAAGTCCATCTGTGTTATTGTCTAGGCCCTGTTCAAAGGTGAAGAGGTGAACAATCCTGTGCTGCAGGTGCTGGTAAGTAAATTTAGGATTCCCCTTTGACCAACCAATACAGCTATATTGTATTTAAATATTCCCATCTATTAATCAAAGTCCGAAAGTTATAAATTAAGTTATCTATAAACAATGTGCCCCTACTTCTACCAGTGCAAAGCCCTGCAGTGCCAAGAGATGAGACTCACTCAGCTGATCCTGAATATTTCTCATAAACCAGTTCAGTGTTCTGCCCCAGAATCAGAGTCAACCATATTATAACACATCAGACTCAAAAATGCACACAAAGATAAATGCAATCTTTTGTGGCCATAAAACGACAGAACACTGAGGCAACTGATGTGATGTGAACTTCTGTAGAGACAGAGCTGCACTTCCTCACACAGTGGACAAAACTGAAATCTTCCTGAAGGAGTTTCAGTTTCAAACCCACGCCCACAGTTTGAAGGTGGTTTCAATAATGAAACACTACAGATTTATCTCCCTGCATTTCCTGTCTTTCTCTGGGCTTTTGCTCTTAAATAGATAATATGTAAAATAAAAAAAAAATAAGATGATTGTACAAAGAGCATTAGTATTGTTATTGTTAATATTACCTTTATCATTGTCCTGTGTACATGTGGTGGTTTGATTAATTAGCATGATGATCCTTAGACTTTAAACCTGGTGTTGTTTTGCTAATAAAATCCTTCCTTCCCTCTGTGTCTGTCAGAACATGCGTCAGATCATAAATGGCGATGCACCTCCCAGGTACCGGCTCATGATGAGTGATGGTCGGCACTCTCTGTCTTGTGAGTATCTTGGAGTAGCCAGAAAACTGTGGGTTCAGTCTGACAAAGTTGACTGACAAATATGTCACAAAATTATTTCACCACTGGAAAGATGGTCTTTTCATAAAATGAGGCTGTCCGTGCAGTAGAAAGACACAAATACTCTTGAAATTGGTGCCACATGACCAGAGAAAACAGAGAAAAAGGACTGTGGCATTTGCTTTTACTTAAGAAGTAGAATACTTACAACCACCAGAATGCATAGCTCCCTACCGGACCAATAAATACTCCCGCTTGTAGGTGACGTAATGTGAACTTGTCTGTTTGACACAATGGCAGCCAGCCAGTAATAAACAAGCTTGTGTATAAGTTAAACTGTTTGCTAAAACATCTGTCTGAAAACATTTAAGGCAAAAAATAGGCAACGCTGTAACAGAATCTTGGTTTATACTTCATGGCTGCTTAGTTTTACCGTTTGATCTCAGTTTTCAGCCCCCAGTTTCACTATGCAGGAAACAGGAAAGTGTCCACTTCCTGTTCATTAGCTTGCGCTGTTACAGCTAAACAGGGCACTGAAATATGTTTCTGAGGACATTTTTGGCAAGAAGTATGCAACACAGTAACAGAATTTTGGTTTATGTTCCATTAGCACCGCCTAGTCTTACTGTTTGATCAGTGTTTTGGTCTAAGTTTGAACAAGAGATAGAGAGTGTGTCTGTCCAGTCTGTAATCTGAGCAACAGCCCGAGAGCCAGTGAAACTTCCCTTCCAGCAAGCAGGGGGATCTGGGTGCTGCCAGTAAGATGGTGGGAAGTTTACTACAGTTCATTTACACATACTACCCACATTGTTATCATACAAAGCTCATTGAAAATTGGCGAAGTATCCCATTTAATCCAACAAGGGTAATATTATGAAGTACAAAAGCAGTGTTCAGCAACTTTGCACCTCAGAACATAACTAAGTAGCAGTGATAGATAAATCTGTTGACTTTTTTTTTAGATGTACATGAATATATTTGTATGTGTTTGTGTATGCAGCCTTCCTGCTGGCCACACAGTTAAACAATCTCCCAGAAGAGAACCTCCTGGTACCTAACTGTCTGTGCATGATAAAGAAAACCATCACCAACACGCTGTCAGATGGCAGGTATGTGTTTTCATTTGCGTGTCCTTCCTCCCTTCCCCCTTCTCTCTGTTTGTTTGCTGCATATAATCCCCTTATTTTTAAATTTCCCTCAGGCATGTGGTGATTGTGTTGGACATGGAGATATTGCAGTCAGCCGAGGAAACTGGAGGAAAGATTGGAAATCCCACTCCATATAATACAGATGGTACGGTTATTTTAAAATGCACATACATGAAGTTATGAACCATATCAAACAGCTTCTGCAGGTCCCTTATGGCGTTTGTTCAACTTGCAGGTAAGATGTCATCGTCACAGAAAATGGACTTGGGTACCTCTGTCCCGGCGCCCCCTCCGTCTGCGGCAGTACCTGGACCCTCCTATGCAAACACCAGCAGTGAGTGTCATATCAAAGATTTTCTATATGATTTCATGCTTCTGTGTGTATAATTATCTTGTCCTCTCAGGCGTTACACATAAATGCTGTCACAATTATCATTGTAGTTTTATTTCTGGTACTTCCGTCTTAGCAGCTTTTCCCACCAGAATCTCTGCAACATGCTTGTGTGTTGATCCTTGTTTATCCGTCACTTACATAGCAGAAATAGCTTTTCGTGCTGCTGACTTCTCATGCTCAGCAGCAGTAACTAAAGACAAATGTGATTAGCGTGAGCAGTTTCATACTTGGCAGCGAAGGAGAGGTAAATTCTGAGCATATTCTAGTTTTCCCAAACTAGAGCACAAATAGCAGGAAGTCTCCACTTTTTTATGAGAATATTCCACAGCCAGCAAATTGGATGAATGAAACTTATCTGTCAAGCACACACTTATTAATTGCTACACTGACATTCAAGATAGCAGGAATACACAACAGAAGAACGTTTGCTTTCCATGTACGAGTGAGCAGGATGAGGCTGATGCGGATTAAATATAACGCAAGACGGTGCAGAGTTTGGTGTAGCTATCACAGTTATTTAGGTTTAAAAAAATCTCTATTCTGTGTTTTTAAGCCAGCTGCAGAAATGGAGTATTGACAGTGGTAGCAAAAATATATGTGGATGCATTCCCCAGCCACTGCATGCAAAGCAGAGACACCTGAATAAATCATTTTTAAACACAACAAAACAATGCACCCAGAGGCCCTCGAGCCCTCTCTTCATGGATATTACATGTCATATGGATTGATACTACTCATTTGCTGTGCAGATTGGAGTAATTAAATACGTCACTTATATAAACAAGTTCTAATTTCCTCATTTAGCAAAGTTAAAGTATTGAGCGTTGGGGCTTTGCTCAACCTGAATGCAGTCGTGTTGAATAGGAGTCACGGAGGGTGTTCTGTATTCTGCAGTCATGCAGAAGAGCTCTCGAGATGTGGTGCTTATAGAGGCTCAAACCATATTTGTGGTTAATAATATGAAGTCAAGGAAGCAAGTAGAGATCATTTTAAGGAATAACTAATTCATCATCATAAGCCTCTCAGTTAAATGACAAATTATTGTGTCTGTATTGTGAACAGCTCCCTGCTTCTCTGACTTCATTCTTCCAGGCAAGGCAGCTTTATTTGTATAGCACATTTCACACACTAGTGCTTTACAGAGCAATAAAATGTAAAACATGATAAGGGATACAGATTTATTATAAAAGAATAAAGAGAAGAGAAATATATAAATTAATTACTAAATGATTTACATTAAAAAAACATTTAAAAATAGCATAGGTGCAGACAAGGTGCAGTTTTACATCTCAACATAATAGTAATAATTAGACAGTCATTATCAGGTGTATTACACTGTGGCAGGAACTGAATGACAGCTTCAGCATTACAGAACATTTTAGGAGTTAGATTGCTGTTACTTCTGGCCTAGTTATTTTAGAGAGTATCTGAATAATTTGACAAGCTCTCACCAACAGAGGGAGCCATGTACCCTTTGAGGAAATGGTGCTGATGAATGATTTGCAGTCCTCTCACTGGCTTCTCTCCTCAGTACTGTTGTTCTGCGGCCATAATTTGGGACCAACAGAGTCTTTGTTGTTCAGTTTCAATCTCATTTACCATACCACTCTTAAACCAGCACTATGGACTGAAAGTAAGTCCTGGTTTTCAGTCCTTTGATATTCATAGGACTTCTGTGTTCAAAGGCTGTATTCTGAGCGTGAATTAAGAACCAGATGAAACGGGATCACGAGGCACAGCATGGTTTTCAACCAGTTGAAGGTAGCCTCAGCAGATGCCAAATTAAGAAGACTGCAGCTCCTTTGGCTCAAGCCCCTGTTTTCATAGTATGCACTTTTATCATATTTACTGCTCAACTAACAGAGCAGGAAACTATCTTGTCGCCCAGTGGCCACTGTGGCAGGTGGAGTCCATAATTTACACCTTTCACTGTTTTACCACCAACCAGTTTTTTATAGCAGAATAGGACCTCCAAATGATGGTTGGTTTTCTGCCAAAATGGCTGGTGCCATGTATCATGCCTAAAGTAGACTGTGTTTTATTGGCTCATCTTTTATTAGCTTAGTCTCTGTTTCACTCACTTGTTTTATACCACCAACTGCTCTCAGCGTCGACATTGATTTTGTTATGTGGCAGAAACATACCCAATAGTCCTCCTCAGTGGAGGATGTAGGCATGTGGGTGGATAATGAGTGCTTGGTATATATTGTGGGTTTGTGCCTGTGTAGGTGTGTGTGTGTGTGTGTGTGTGTGTGTGTGTGTGTGTGTTGTGACTGAGGGAGCTTGTGTGGGCCGATGGCTCCTCCAGTTCATGGCTTCATGAATATTGTGTTGTGGACTGAATCCCCTTGTAGCGATATACAGACGGGAGGGAGAGAGAGAGAGAGAGTCAACTAATTTGACTCAGCAAAGATAAGACTCTGCATTAAGTAGTTCATCAGACTCCTTCCTTGTTATATCCTTTGAATCATTTTACCTCAGAGATCTGGCCAGATAGAGAAAACCTGCTGGCCTATTTAATTGTTCTGCTGATAAACTGGTCCTGCATCCCTCTTTAGAGCCAACAACAAACCTCGTGCATAACATCTCGGAGTGTTTTCTCTCACTGAATGTGTGTGATTACTTCTCAGTGTTTTCGTAAATTGTGTTTTCAAAAGGTCGATAAATTTGTGTGCATTCACGTGATTATTAAATGCAACAAATTAAGTGTTTCCAATGAGCTGTGGGCGATGTAATGACTGAGTAGGCTGCTGTTTTATTAGAGGGTCTGGGTTTAAGCTGCTGTGAAGACTTTATAGTCCTTCAGCAACACAGAGACTCTTGCTCGTATCACAGCTCCTCCCAGCAGGGATGCAAGAGAGAGCTTAGACGCGAGGAAGAGATGCAAAGACGGAGGAACTGTATTTACCATACAGGACATCCTCGCTCACTTCAGGGTCATTTTTAAGAGATGGCTACTTCTCAGGATGCAGAGCATCTCAACTGCCTGCCGCCTGCCGCAATAGCAATTACAGATCTATTGCTGCGTCAGAGCATGATAGAAATGACACAGATATAATGTTTTTATTACTGAAACAATAGAATGAGGTGGAGAATGAGGCTGCAGGTAAAGTAAGTCTGTTCCATTCAGTCTCAGGCTGGATATTACAGGACAAATAACTGCATCAGTGCAGCTCGTTAAGAAAACATTTTTCCTGAATGAGCCAAGATAGACTTGGAGCAGAAAAAAAGAAAAGAAAAGTGTTTGGCTGATGAAGGAAATGCAGTTTTTATGATTAATTTGTGATTCAGATTAACATGCATCTAAGAATTTTAAATTCCTGGATCAACACAAAAAATGTTAAAGCTGCTGTTGGTGCTATTTGTTCTGCAGTATTGCAGTCATGCTATAATATATTAAAATTATAGTATTGCAGTTTCTTAAACAGTCAGTTTGTGTGTTCCTTTACTTTTCCATCAGATAAGCTGACCAATCATTGATTTTGATTAAAACAGTGTTTCTGTCCAGCAAGAAACTTTCTCATAGATGCACCTGTGGTTCCTCAGCCCTCGTCCTCACCAAGACATATCATCCTTGATGATGGCAGACCTTGATCAATTTCCAGGTCACAGGCCAGAGGACAGAGGAGCGAGGACAGGAGAAAGTGTAATTAGCTGAATGGAAAGCACCCTATCAGCTCCAGGCGTCCTGCTCTATGCTGTAGTGAAGCCTGACCTCTGACATCCTTGGAGTGGGAGGATGTGGTCAGAGAATATTCTTACCTCTGGTGTCAGCATAGTTTGAAGGAATAATTTTGAATGTTTTTAGCATCTGTTAATGTTTTGAGCACGCCTTGTAAGCTCTGCCAGTCAAAGCGACTCTCAATTAGAAACGTTAAAATTTTCAACATAATTTTAATATTCTGAACTGTATTAAAAAAAAAGAAAAAAAAAAAGGCAACTAGTCCTCGGCAAGCATTAGGTGTAGAGCCAAAGGTCATGACACAGTAGTCACTGACAGTTCTGTGTTCCCATTTAAATATTCATCAGTAGCAACCCTTGAAATAGACTACCTTCAAACTGCTTCGCAGATGATATTTAAATTCCAAAAAGAGATCTGCACTCGCTGAAGTGCAGTTAAAAAAAAAAAAATTCATTATTCATCACTAACCATTCTCTGCAGGTTCCCTTTGTCCTCACAACTCTTTCCCTCTCCCCCCCTCCCTATAAACACACACACACACACACACACACTCACACAGTTTTTTTTCACACTGGCTTTCCTATTCACTTTCTCTATTTATTTCCTTTTTCTTGTCTATATATTTCTCATTTTCTCTCTTCCCATAGTATCCTCACCAACCAGGCACTCTTCACAAATGGGCTGTTGAATACGTTGGTGGCATACATATTAGGACTCTGTACTGATCTTAATCACAAAAAATGAGGATCCTTGACAAACCTCTATGCCCCTCTCTTTGCTCTGTTCATCACCCATCCACACCTATCATCTCTTCTCTTCTTTCACTACCAGCTTCTTCCCTCTGAACCGGATTGCGTGTGCATGAATATTGATGTTAATTACCCCTCGCCTGAAAATAGCTGTTCAATCTGTGATTTCCCTAAGGAATTTGCTCATGACACACACACACACACACACACACAATTGTGCACACGCGCAAAGGAAGGTATCACAGAGGTGAGTATTTGTTGTGCTCCGGAACAGGAGCTTATATCAGGGGAGTGGTCTCGGTGGAATTGGATCTTTTTATCCCTGACAATTCTTCCCTCAAATGCTTTTCCTCAATATGGCTCATCATTCATGCCAAAATGAGCCATTGCGTAAAATATATTGTGACGACAGCCGAGTATTTAGTCTGAATCACTGCTGATGGGGCTGATGCAACTTTTTACTGTGGGAGGTGAGAATAGCACCTTGTGGCTCTGTGGGCCAGCCCGAACTGCTCAAGTTTTCTGGCATTGTCATTTGTAAAAGAAATTTAAAAGCTGATCAGTTGTTTTTGAAACAGAAGGAACTTACTATTAACTTTTTCAGTTGTCGTGGTGTTGGTTTAGGTCTGTGCTGAGTGAGAGCACACCTAACCATGAGTAATTCAGTATAACAAAACACAGCTCACTATGTAATAGAACAAATCAGCTTGATTAATTAGACAATAGGTTCATAATTACACAACATGATTAATTATGAGGGGTCTGTGAGAAATAACCTAAGGCTTCCTCAACCATTCATGCCAGTATTTATCTACTGCCTGTTTAAAATGATCATTACCTTTTAGAATAAGTGTGACACCCTCTAAACTCTGTCGTCCACTCCAACTCAAACTAAATATAAAACAGTCACACTTCATTAATATGGCTAAGACTAGTATTTACAAATGTATGTCTTGTGTTTTGACTGATATTCTGATAACTAATCCTAATTATTCTTTGTCCTGTGACTGAAAGGCGTAAGTACAGTAATTATGACATTAATTATTGATTGGCAGTCTTACTCTTGAAGAAAAACACTGTTTCATTCATTGGCACAAACTGATGTTAACAGGGAAATGAGTAACTCTACGGGGAGATCTGTGGGGGGAGTTTTAATGTTCTCCAGCACTTTATCATTTTGGCAGCTGCTCACATGATCAGATAACAGTACTACCACTAATGTTTTATAATCGCTGGAAGTTTTTTTTTTTAAGTGTTTAATTAAGTTTGTACTGCCTGATGGCAAACTGGTAGGTGCTCCACCGGTTACTCATCAGTACCAGCAAATGAGTTTGTCACCTCAGCAAAGTTTTGCATGTTCCCTTATGTACTTATGTCTCACAGTGTGTGGAACTTTTATACAGTCAATGAAGAACAGTATATAAATGCTGCTTTTAACATATTTGTAACTAAATAAACATAATTTATCCATATGGTAATTTAAAGGGGATCTACACAGTTTGTTAGTGAATATGTGGGAAAAGTTTGTGGTTTGAGAGGGAGCTGCATGAAACCTGATAAAAGTGAGTCACTTGAGTCGATGTCCGACAGTGCCGAAGACTACAAGTTTGAAAGTTAAAAAAAAATATATAGGTAGGATGAAGCGGCCCGCTCTTTGTCTCTGCTTAAAGCTAGCAGCTTCAGGCTACATTAGCCGTTACTAGCATAATAAACCAAAGTCTGAAGGCCTTTGCACACTGAGTTCATTATTTTTTTCAGATCACTTTTTAAATCCGTCATCTGACAAAAATCGTTATGCACAGAGACCTTGCACCCTGAGTCTGATGCGTTTTATTGTTGTATTCATTGCAAAAATTCACAATATGTGACAAAATGAAAAGACACGTTTCCTCCTTTCCTCCACTGGAGTTACCTCTCTGGCTGTCACCACTCCCTCCCTGTCTCGCATTAGGCACCACTAGGGGGGGCGGACTCCGGGGTTTTTTCGGACCTAATTGTATTGCGGAGTTTTGCACAGCGGCGACCAGATCTTTGCTCTCAAACCACAAAAAAATGTGATGGCACAACAGTCTCCTTCAGTACATTACTCTGTGCTTTCGATTTTCACATTGGCTAGTCATCCTGTTTAATTTGTCTTCTGATTAAATCGGAACCGTTGAAACAAGTTGTGGGAAGCCTCTGCAAGTAATTGGTTGCTGGCAGACACTCTGTGCTGCAATAAAATGGTTACTCAGCAGTGCCGTGCACTGTAGAGCCTATGCGCTGCTGGTTCTGCCGGCCTGAATAGAATATAATGTCTATAGCCTTACTGCTGTGTGTACAGCCTTATAGACTGAGCTGAGTAGTGATGCGCGGGTCGACCCGTAACCCGCGGGACCCGCAAATGGACCTGCGGGTCGGGCAGCAGTGATCGTCTGTTAAATCGGTCTGTAAATGATATTTTGACGTTATTGGCTATTACTGTCATGGCATCCGAAGGTACTGATGCGTTGAGCCGGTGACAGTCCGCGGTCGTTTTCGAAACACACTTGTGTCACGCACTCCAAAAGAAACTTGTTGAAATTTTAAACAATAATTTATTGTACAAAACGGGGGAAACAAACGTTGACAAAAACGGTTCCATAATTCATATTAAATTCAAAAGATAACGAAAAAACAGCTACAAGTTAGAGGGAATAGTGATAAAGTGGTAAAACTTGGCATTGATCCACAGCGTCAGACGGATGCGCTCAAGCGTGCCGTGTGCACAGGCTCCGTTGGTAGGCTATACTATATTTTCACATTTTTAAAAATGCAATTTAAAAGTTTTGATTTTTATTGATAACCTACATTTACCAACAACAAAAAGACTACATTTAGCACCAAAAAAAAGGGAAAAAAAAGAAAAAGTAAATAAAAAAACGAATATCATATACCAAATTTTCATAACGAATACCTACCCATAGAAACGAATATTCGAATATCCGAATATTTGGGGTACAGCGCTAGGCACCACAGCTGCATGATGGGGTGGAGCTGTCCGCCTTCTCTATCTCCACATTCTGTGTGCGGTCTACATCCTTCTCCTCCTCCTCCTCCTCCTCCTCCTCCTCCTCCTCCTCATCATCATCATCATCCACCTGAATATTACTATCTGACCTGATGAAAGTGACCTGTATGAGTTATGAAATGATTCTGTGCGAGGCATTCCTCTTTCTTGTCACGGCTGTGTCCCACTGCCACATTTTCCTCACTGATTCTTGGTCAGACGTCTCTAAAGGCTTCTGACAGATGCAAAAATCGCAGAAAATTGAACGTGTTTTGAAAAGTTTAATGATGGACGAACGTTTCAGAGTCAGTGTGCAAATATGATTGATACAAGGTGAGGTCATATTTATTTTTAGACATGCAGCAACTCAGGCGAAAAAAATGGACCCTGTGCAAAGTCCTTGTGATTGAACTTTCGACAGTTGAGTTGCATTTTGGGTAATACAGGTGCCCATGGATGGATTACTGAAGGGGCCTTACTCATATTTATACATACCGACCAGCAGGAAACTCCAAATTGCCATTATATACTACTGTAAGAGATACAAACGACTATAAAGAGATGCAAAACAGTTGCACAAAGAGACTCACAAAGACTACGAAAAGGTGCAAAACAACCATAAGACGACATAAAATGACTATAAATAGACTCAAAATGACCATCGAGAGACACAAACATCTACAAAATGATTACAAAGAGACAAAACCACAAGAGATAAGACACAAAACAAAAACAGAGAGAGGCTAAACAACTATACAGGCCATGTTTCTTGCTCCTATGTAAGAGAGGTGTTGGGGCCTTTTGCATGTCTTAGCCCATCGTCTCATAATCTGCCTATGTAGTCGCCAAGTTTTGACAAGAAAGAACAATGTGCGGAATGAAAAAGACAGTATTTCTGTTTCTGCTGCTTCAGTTTCTATAATTTTTTCCAGTCTGAGAGTAGAGTCTGTCGATTACTCTTCTAATTGTTTAATTTTCTGAGAAATTAGAAACAATTGCATGAATGATTGAGTGCAGTACTAACAATTTGGTACTCTGACCTCTTCTCATAAAAAACGATACTGCTGTACCTATACTAACACAGGTGGTTTCATTGTAACACTGCAGGGCACAATCATTTCATGACTGATTATTCTGTTAATCTTTTAATGATTTATTTTTGAGCAAATTGTCGTGGATGTCAGAAAACATTGGAAAATGCGTTTCAGAATTCTCCAGAGCTTAAAGGGATAGTGCACCCAAAAATGAAAATTCAGCCATTATCTACTCACCCATATGCTGACGGAGGCCCTGGTGAAGTTTTCCTCACATCCCTTGCGGAGATCGGCGCGGGGAGCGGCTAGCACACCTAATGGCTGACGGCGCCCCAGACTAACGTCCACGAACACAAAATTGAAACCACAAATTATCTCCAACATGCTCACCTGTAGTGATCCAAGTGTGCTGCAGCCGCGACATAAAAAGTTGTTTCAAAAAAACGTCATAAGAACTCACTGTAGCCTGTAGCTCTGACTGCTTCTCTGTGCTCCGCGTTCACGTGTGCGCGCTCAGGGTGATCGGTGATCTCTGAAGAGCAGCAGTCTCGTCAGTACTGATGTCCAGATTCTCAAGTGCAGGCATCGCCAATTCCCAGTCTGAGCAGCAAAGACTCATCCGTTGGCATTGCTTTGCATTTGAAACAACTACACCACCAGGTTTCCAGTGCTCGACTCCGGTATTCTGCGGCTGGCTGAGGCTCATGAGCTGCGGCGGCTGCTTCGTCCAGTAGCCTGAGTTCCACGTCCGTATACTCAGAGTTCATATGACGTTTTTCTAAACAACTTTTTATGTCGGGGCTTCAGCACACTTGGATCACTACAGATGGGCACGTTGGAGATACTTTGTGGTTGCAATTTTGTGTTCTTGGACGTTAGTCTGGGGCGCAGTCAGCCATTAGGTGTGCTAGCCGCTCCCCCTGCCGATCTCCGCAAGGGATGTGAGGACTCTAAAACTTCACCAGGGCCTCCGTCGGCGTATGGGTGAGTAGATAATGACTGAATTTTGATTTTTGGGTGCACTATCCCTTTAAGGCAACGTCTTCACATTGCTTATTTTGCTTGACAAATCGTCCAAAAGCCAAAGAGATTTCATTTATGAATTTTTCAGTGAAATGATACAGTGAAATAAATCAGTAAATGGACTAATTTTTCATTAATATGAAATTGCCATCTTGTAAAATTGGAGTACTCCTATACAGTAAGTATCTCACTTTGCTTTCCTGCAGCCTTCTCTCCTCCCCAAGGCCGAGGAAGAGGTTTTGTAGGAAAGTCGCCCATGAAGGCTTCACCAATGAACGTTTCACCCATGAAGGCTTCACCAATGACTGTTTCACCCATGAAAGCGTCGCCCACAAAGTTTTCACCCATGAAGGCTTCACCAATGAATGTTTCACCCATGAAAGCTTCACCCATGAAAGGCACACCCACAAAGTTTTCACCCATGAAGGCTAGTACCAGCACTCCTCCAGGCCCTTCAACAAAAGTGACTCCTATTGCAAACCTCAACCCCTACATAAGCAAGTAAGTTTAAGTCTGTTACTCTGTTTCTTCATGTGCCTGCTTTCACATACATGTATGGAAACTGTAAAAACATAACTTAGATTCTGTAGTAGATAGATATAAAACACAGCATCTGACTTAAATGTGTTTCCTGCTAAATTCCAAGCAAATGCAGTTTTCCCCCCTCTGCTCGTTCATCAACTAAACTATTTCCTCTCACGCTGTGACTCTACTTCCCTGTTTGCTGCCATTTCTGAGTAGCACTTTGGGGCATGTTTGGAACTGTGTGTATATGTGCTTGTGCATGCATTCAGTACTTTTAAATCAATGCCCGTGTGTGTGTGTGTGTGTGTGTGTGTGTGTGTGTGTGCGGGTTTGTCCATGTGCATGTTAGTCAGCCCATCTGCATGGAAATGAAATGAAATGACCGATCTTGCCTCAGAAACGGACACTTTAACGGCAGGTACTGCTGGGTCTTTATGGTCTGCTGCTGAGGTTTTGATTCTGTTATTTGGCCTGGTGGGGATTTGGCCAGCCTCGTTTTTTTTCCCCCCTTCATTCCCTCTCACAATTTCTTTACCCCCTCCAGGGTTCAATTTTACTCCAGTTTTTTTCCCTCTCGCTTCTTATCGTTTCATTTGGCTTAAGTCTCTGTCTCTGACCTTAAAGTTGGCCACAAAAAGACAAGTGCACGGTACAGCAAGATGTAGTTGTCCAGATTGGAGTGAAGGTACCCTGTCAACTCTCTCCCCATGTATGGGCTCTGATAACGTGGCCCTGTTTGAAATTGCAAGCTGTAAAGATAACTGTGCCTCTAGGTGTTGTAATAAACTGATGACTGTTCTAACTTTGAAGTTGGGGAGTACCTACAGTGAGTAAAACAGATGACTTCAGCAGCTGTGGTTCTTGTACGTATGTTTGCGTGAAATGGAAAGTGCGGCTGTGTGTGACACAAAGTGTTGCGTACAGTAGATTATATAGGGATGCTGCTGTGTATGTTCACATGGTCTTTCATGGGCGTTTGCATGGCTGTCTCATCCCATTCTGCTGGTGTTAAGTAATAGCATCTAGAGCAGACTATAATTGGCTTTTGGCTGCCATAAACCTTGGTGTAGCAGTCTTATCCATACTGAGCAGGGAATGGGGTTCACTCTGGGCCAGCAGCTGCTCTCATGATAGGGGATTTAATTGCAGGCAAAGTTATGGTATGAATATCCTCCACTGCACAATTATCAACGCAGTCAAAAAGCTCACTGCTGCATAAACTGCCGAGCTTGGCTGGCTGTTGTTAAAAACAGAACAAGAAGCACATTTTAAATGCATCCAGGAGTTGGCAGATGTACAACACCTAGTTCACTCTTTGAAAAGAAAGTTGCTGGATGTTTTTTTTGTCTTTCATGGAACTTTAAAAAGACTGAAAAGACACTCATCCAATTTCCTTGGGAATTGTTCTTTTGCGCAGTTGTGTTTCACGTTGGTGACTGATGTGAGCTGAGTTGGGATGCTCATTAACAAAAAAGGAAGCTTTTCTAAAGTGTCTCTGCAGCATTCTTTTCTGTTTGTGCTGACCTTTACACTGTAACTCTTTTAGTTAAGTTACACATAACTGTTTTGGTCAAAACTTTTGTGTAATTACTTTTTTAACAAAGGGTTTATGTTTATGTTGTTGTTGATGTTAAGTGTTGTGTGTATTCACATTAAAGAAACTGGTTGATGAAAACATGATGGAAGACATTCAAGTAAAACATTTGCAAAGCTTAGATTTAGGTCAGTGGGTATGTTTTTTTATGTCAGCAAATTGATACTCTAATATTTTAAGGTCAATTTTAATGAAGTGTTTTTTTAAAATTTAAAGCACTGGGATGTTTTCCTCCAAATCACTTGAAGCATATTGTGCAGTCAAAGGCCCAAGTGTGTAGGATTTAGGGGCATCTGTTGGCAGAAGTTATATAAAATACTCATAACTATGTTTTCATTATTTTATAATCACCTGAAAATACAAATGGTTGTCTTTACATTTCCTTAGAATGAACCATTTATATCCACATGTGGCATGGGTTCACCATATTGTTCTGCAGTAGCCCAGAACAGACGAATAAAGCACTGACTCCAGACAGGGCCATTTGTGTTTTTGCATTCACCACCGTAGTTCTCCTACACACTAAGCACACTGGATATGTTTGAGTTCTGCAAATTTACCACTAAATGCCACTGAAGCCCCGTTTCCACCAAACACTTTCAGTATGGGACCAAAAGTAACCCTTCATGTTACGTAGTACCAAAACCCTAGCATTTCCACTGCAAACAGTACTCTTAAATATGGGTGGGGTTGTTGTCACTCACTGCTCTGACAAGCACTTACTGTATTTCCTCATTACCGGTGACACAGATGGAAATCTGCGCCTCGTTTATTGTCTAAGAATAGTGGGTTTGTGCATTAAGTCCTTCTCAGGCAAGCTCAGGGGTTTAGTGTTGCCGAAGCCCACAGGAACGACACTCTGCAACACTTTTTTTTTTTTTCTGGGGAGATTTAGAAAACATGACGCTCACATAACTCATAATTTTGAACGCTTAAAATCCACTCATTACTAAAAGTGTATGTCATATAAAAACTAAAGTAATGGTCCAAGATGTTAAAGTGAAATTTAAGGTGTGTTGATTGATTCATGTCTTCAACTCACTGAGTAACATTACAAGTTAACGTTCCACCTTAAATGTTGCCGGCAGTCGGCCCAGTGAATGAAGTTATTTTTTCTCCAACTCCAGCTGCTGTGAGAGGCAACAAAACATACTTTCATTTTATAGTTATAGTCTACTAATAAAACTTTCCACAATGAACAGCGATTACATGAGCCTCAAACCAGCCACAACTCAGCCCTGAACAGAGTGACCGTCCACTACTGACCAATCAACGGACTGCAGTGTTCACAGCTCCACCTTTTAGTACCAGATCTGTGTGCTAGGTAACCCAACAGAGGGGGGACCAAAAATGGGGACGGTACATAACGGTTCCATTGGTACCATCCACAACTTTTCACAGTGGAAACGGAAAGAAAAATGTACCGAACTGAACTGTACCATACTACTCGATGGAAACAGAGCTTAAATCCTACACACTGGACCTTTTAGTTGTTGTTGTTTTTTTTAACATATACTTTGTAAGTACTGATTCCTTATCACAAGTGCCTACTCTGTATTTATCCCTAGGTGGACTATCAAAGCCCGAGTCACCAACAAGTCCAATATCCGCAACTGGAGTAACTCTAGAGGAGAGGGCAAGCTCTTCTCTTTTGAGATAGTGGATGAGAGTGTGAGTAGAGGAGTCGAGAGGCCTTAATATCTGCATGTCAAACATATGTCACACATGGCTGTTTTTGGTCTTATCCGTGAAACGAATTGCTGTTTAATGGAAATGTGCTGGTCAACAGGGAGAAATCAGGATCACAGCCTTCAACAACGAAGTGGACAAGTTTTTCTCTCTAGTGGAGCAAGGCAAGGTGAGCAGATCCCACTCACCCATATCTGTCCTCACTTGAAGTGATAAGAGCTTCTCAGAAACTTGACTTAGAAATTTTGACTTTTGCACATATTTCACATCAACAGCAGCTTTGGATGCTGCAAGAATATGTTTGTACTCACATTGTTTCAAAAGGAGCTTCCAGACGTTGAAGCCGATTCATTTCTTCGATGAAACTGACAACAGAAAGACAATATCTAGAGGCAATAAAAAAAAAAATCACCAACTAGTTGCAGAGTAAGCTTCAGTCTCAGCTTTCCATTTTGTATTCACATAACACCTCAAACAAATGTATCATAGGTAAAATAGTGCCTAATAAACCCCTCTGCAAAATCCTCTCATGCCTGCAGGAGTTCCAGCCAATGAATGAGCCGGAGGCAAGTATTAGAGGATTTTGTAGAAGGGATTTATGAAGTCTTATTTCACTGAAATATATATGTTTGAGACATATTGAGAATTTGGGTAGATATATGAAGCAGTGTATATGCTTTGGAGAACAGTGTGAGAGAACTTGTCAAATTTGATGTGTTAATATAGTTTTGCTGTTATTTTAAAGGTATACTATGCAGGATTCACGCTTGTTTGGCGTTTCACCTCGCTATATTTGTGTTTTTGCAGCGCTGTGTCTCTTGGATGCCTGCTGCTTATGGTCTGGCAACTGGCTGCTGCCCTGACCCCACCTAAGAGCTGTGGGGGTACAATTCCGTACATGTCCTGAGAATAGAAAATAAGAAAATACAGGCAGAGGGCAGCGCCTCTGCAGAAATACTCCCCTACACACTTCTAGTGGGTCATAAGTGATGATTGAGAGGGATTACTTCTGTGTGAGTCTGCATTGTTTTTCAGAAAAATCCTGCATAGTATATCTTTAAAGTTATCTTCATTGTATCAGAAATGGCTCCCAGTCTTACAGGCTGTGTTCTCCATGGAGGATTCGCTTTAAAGTTTACTGGCTTAAGTAATTGATACAGAGATTATCATTTTTATGGGTCACTGTAATCACTTCTCCTCTCCATACTGGGAGACAAGCAATTACTAGTAGCAACTCCACTCAAAGAAATGGGGAGAAAAAAAATCCACAGTCTTTATTCTGTACTACAATGCAGTCGAAAGTTTGGTCAAAGTGGATATAAGGGTTCAGTAATTTGTCTACTGAAGTAGGTATCTTCATCCTGGTAGTCTCATGCAGGTTTTCAGGGTTTCTGCAGGTTCTTAAAAGGCATTGAAATCACAAATAAAGCCTTAAGTGGTATTAAAATGTCTTAAATCAGTCTTTCAAAAGTCTTTAAAATGCTGTGACATTGGAGGTAGAATTTATGATTCTTTTTTCTGACGTTGCATTGCAAAATCAATCTCAAAATAAATTGCAACATCAATTTTTTTTAAATGATTTACCCAGTTGCCTCACATTGAAGTCATGCAGATCAGGATGGTGGAACCAACAACACAAATATGTATTTTGTTTCCAGCTGGAAGGCTCAGAGCAGTGGTTCCACTGTCTGATAGCTAGTTGTTATTCTTCTCTGGACGACATGAGGAAGTGCAAATTCAACAAAAAATTGGCCATTTAACCAAGATTTTGTGGCATTGCTGAAACTGGTACAATGCAATGCTCATGAAGCTCAGTGTATTTTATGCATGAGGTTTTTCAAACTTGGCATGAGGGGAATCAAGGCAGTTAAATCCTATATGCAGAGTGAGAGACACAATCACCAAGAAAAGTCGCAAACAAACACCAGGTATTTCCCAGTTCTATTCTACCCACGTCTCTGCCACATCTCCACCCCCATCACCGATACCAGCGCCAGGGTTAGAAGCAGCAAATCTCTGAACAACATTCAGGTGAACGCCTACACAGAAAGCAGAGGTACTGTGTTTTCTAAACATGGTGACAAAACACCAATCATACAAGGCAAATGATGGAGTAGGAGACCTTTTCCTCGCAATGTTCCCGGACTCTGAAATTGGATGAAAGTCATGTTTTATGTTACAGTAAACATTTTGGCAAAATCATCCCTAACTCTTAAGTAATTGAGGTTGGTTCAAGTTTTTTCTTTCTTCAGTTTTTGTTATTGTAGAATTGGTCTTGGTCATTTGGGGTGGAATTGAAAAAGTTTAAAAAGTAGTAAATCCAATTTGCCTGAAGTTTTAGGAACCCTGGTTTAATGCCAGCGTTGTTCCTGGCAATAAATACCAGGGTGTATCCCTCAAGTGTGACTCAGTGTGGAGGCATTGTCCGAGGAAACAGAGAATTTTATTCTAAAAAGACTGTAAATTTAGAATATGTAAGCTTCATATTAACTTTGGCTTAGATTTACGACACAGTTTTTTATAGAACAAGGACACTGGATTTTGTCACCCCTCTCAAAGTGTAGTCACAGCACAATGGGATCTCTTCAGAGCAGGTCTCGAGAGGAGGAATGATTACAGCAACCGTTAACTCTCGGAATATACCTCAGCATATGCATTTTCCAAACCTATCTTTAAGGTATTGCAACATTTATCATGTAGAGTAAAACCAGATTTGAATTCAGTCAAACACTACTACATATGAATCTTTTTGCTGTACCAGTTGGTCTGAAAGAATCTTGGAGGTAGCATTCATTAATAGGATCATCTTTCATCCAGAGGGTCCCGATTCAAGACCTTGTGTCAGCAACCATCTGCTCTACTGTCCTTTAGTGAGAATGCCCACCAGCTCCAGCTGCTGTTACATAACTGGCAGTGATGCTGGCCTCTGACCTTGCTGGAGGCCTTCAAATCAAACTGAATTTTACCCAAGAATTAAAGCTTATACAGTAGGATCCTTAAAATGATTTTGAATGTGAGGAACAAGTCATATTCAAGAATTCAACAATGCTGCCTCTCAAGTGAAACTTTTGAGTTCAGTTTTGCTATATTCAGGTGGGGGTTAAAAGATGCATAATTGTAGACGGTGAGAGATGTCGACAGTTTTTCCTGGAAAGTGAGAGTTAGCACCAGTCTCAGGCTGTTGTTTATGCAAGTAAAAAACCATGTGTTGTTTGTGCTTAAATGGGTGGTGCAAGGTCCGAACACCCACACCATGCCCTTTGCATGTTCCTGCATACCTATGCGATTGCAGACAGGTAGAACACATGTTAAAGCTCTTGCTCAACTCGGCCTGGCCCACAGAGCTTAATAACTCAATTAACCCTGGCCATCATTTTGCTCGTCACACTGGCTCAGGTATCAGCCACTGGCAGTGACTCCCAACACAGCCCCAGATCCAATTTGTGCCCTCTGCCCCCCAAAGATAAATAAAGGAATGAATCTGTCTTCCATTCGTGATCTGAGTATTGACAGAACAGTGAGTGGGTGTGAGTGGCTCTGAGCGGCCAGAATGCTTATCACATTAGTTTTTCATGTTCCTATCAGTGTGTGGGGTAAATCAGAGAGAGAGGGAGGAAGGAAAGGAAAGAGAATAAGCCACAGAGACAAACTCAGAGGCAGAGAGAGAGAGGGAATATTGGAGTGTTGGGAGAGTAAATGAAGAAGTGTGCCTCGCATATTGAGTTTAAATTGTGCTGTTTAGCAGACTCGCTCTCAGCTGCTACTAATTTTCTGGTGAATTAGAGAAGTGATGGGCCTGATATGACACCACATCTTAGTTGGACCTGAAGGTTTTTCCTTTTTTATTGAGAGCTTTTGGTGGAACAGAAGCTGTATTGTATTAATAATTTCCTTTGCAGGATCAATAAAGTGGTCGCTCAATCAGATCGGTCATAGTTGCTTCAAATTCACAGGAAATAACCAGTCTGATTAGGTCTAATTTTATAATGCCAGCTCACCTTGCTCACCCACTCTCTGCAGGTGTACTACATCACTAAGGGTACACTGAAGGCGGCCAACAAACAGTACACCACACTGAAGAACGACTACGAGATGACCCTACACGCTCAGTCATCCATCGTGCCATGTGATGACACTCAGGGTGTCCCCACGGTGCACTGTGACTTTGTGCCCATTGCAGAGCTGGAGAACAGAGACAAGGATGCCATCCTTGGTAAGAGAAGAGTTTCATCAGTAAGACTTTATCTGTAAATTTCTATGATTTTAGTCCATAAAGGAACAATTTAACAGTGAGAGAGCTTTATGCTAGGGCCACATCACCTAACTTTACCTGTGTATGACCGCTACCTGCTGAACTGCTGCAACTTGCATGTGTGTGGTGTTCACACAGACAGCACTGCTGCCTGCCAGTCCTGTCTCTCTACATTGAGTTTGCCTTTTTAGAATAAATGCCTTGTGTTAACAAATAATGGGAGGGCTTTTCCACCACAGGGCTTTTAATTTTAAACCAAAACAAGTGTTGTGTTAAAAATAAGTATTTATATTTTTTGGATAGTGAGAGTGGCCTACAACAAAAAATAACAAAAATGCACATAACATCCAAATGGATTCACAGACTTGTACAAGATTTTATAGAAAGATTGTTCATGAGCCAAAGGACATGTCATGTAACTCATGAACCAGTTGTAGTAGGGAGGCCTCACTGGGCTTGTGATAAGTGTTTGTGTGAATGCATGCACATGTGGATGCATGCATGTACATGGCTGCAGCTAATGCGAATTCATGCTGGTTTTATATCTGAGATATTCTACAGAAAGAGACATTGTAACTGTGGTGAAAAGTGTACTGTTGATGGTATGACGTCAATGGGACTATCAACAGAACTGGTCACATCACAGGGAAAAAAAGTCAACACTCTGAATCTCTAGATGAGCTCCTACTTATACAGGCAGTGTGACCCGGGCGTAAGTGCTGTGGCTCAAGTTTTTTTTTTTTAGCCTCACAAGGCCAGACTACATCTCACAAGCTCATTTTTTGTAATCAAGGCTTCAAAACATTGATAATCAACTGATTAAGATAGGTATGTGTCACACTCAATCAGCAATCTGTGGTGAGGGCTCAGATGATGACATGACTCACTCCCTCAACACTTTGTGAACAACTACAGAAACAAGGTGTTAAAAATAGAAAATTAAGTGTGATTCAGCAACTCTGTGGTCTTTTTTTTTAGCTAGAAATTCATTCAGGTATTGATTTTTGTGGATAGTTGAGGAGAGATTTGACCACATTCCTGAATGGCTGCCATCTAGTACATCTGTTTTGAAAAATCAGAGGCAAAAACCAACAACAGCCCAGAGATGGTGCGTCAGTCCAGTCAGGTGAAGAAAAGGATGTGATAAAGAGAACTGTCGATAATCTTCTGTACTACACCTGGCTTGGACCCATGTCCCTGCAAAGAAAAGCCTTGCCAGAACACATTGGGCCTCATACAAGAACATTTTCATATTTTTAGCTTAAACCTCTTTTACTTTGTTCAATGATGTTTGCTTGAATAAATGTTCCAAGTCAGATCCACCAAACTCTCTCAATTGAACAAACTTGTTATGGATTGCTTGTTTCAGCCTGATGAATGCCACCTGGTTGTGAGAACACACATATATGTGAGATTTTTTGCATTTACATCATCGACACCCCTCAGTTTGCCATATAAGGCTGCCTGTTATGTTAGTTTGTTGTTAATTTTCATTCACAAATATGTTACCATAGATTAAAACAAAGAATTTCACACAGTGGACCTTCAGGTCCTGATATCAGAAATCAGCAGATAAAGTCCAGCAGTGTCAGCAGTGGTGTTAGCGGACCCGCAACTGAAATATTAATTAGTACAGTTGTCAGCGATCTGTCATCAGAGTAGTGCAGCACTGTGACAGAAATGCAGAGCGACTGGTTTGAGATGAAGGTAAATGCTAAAAAAAAATGTCTTTCTAAAGCAAAGTGGTCCTTGACTTATATGAAAGCTGGTCATGGAAATATTAAACGAGAGATTTGGTAGTCTACACTAAATTGTCGTTTGCAACAAAGGAATATACTCTGCCTACATAAAGACCCCGAACCAGCTGTCAGTGAGTATTGAAATGTACAAGTTTATGTGCCGAAATATGTCTTTAAAAGATTTTTAAAAATTTCTCAGTGAATTTGCAGCCATGGTTTGCATTAAGCTTGACATAGTTATATGTATTTTAATTTTTGATAAATTCAGTATCCTGGTTAAACTTCAAACTTATTCAGATTGCTGTTTTTCCCCTGACTCTCTCCACAGGGGAAAAACAGCAAACTTATTCAGATTGCTGTTTTTCCCCTGTGGAGAGAGTCAGACTATCTGTACATGACTCATATGCAGTGTTAGGGAGTATCCAGTAACGTTTAACAGAGTTATGTAATTAAATCACAAAATACGTAATTGTAATAAGTTACAGATTCCGAGAAAAAATACAAATAAAGCGTTGATGATTTTCAAAAAGAGTATATTTCTTGTTGATAAAAATGCTTATATGTAGAATATAACATTCATGCTTTGCATATTTTTACAGATCAGGAATGCATTCTTTTAGCATATTTGGCTACGTGGGTCTCAAGAATCACTGGTTTATGCCATGTAAGATCGAATCTGAATGAATGCGTCTTATAGGAGGCCCACTGAGTAACCAAAAAGTGGACTTGTGAGGTTACGACCTGTTAGTTTCCACCAGTAATAGAACATGTGGGTTATCAGCTGGATCATCTCTCAAACTGCTCAACCCAGATAATTACAAGTTGTAGATATAGATGGAAAAAAAATTGAGCTAATAGACAGACATGTGCCAATCAGTTACGTACCAGGTGTCCTGAAATAATACATTATGACGGGGTCAGAGGAGAGGTTAATTCAGGCATACGGTAAAGAGGAGAGATAAAAAGAGGATAATGCTCATCGCACTGTTTTTATGGAGGTTAGTTGCAGTGCCTGCCCTCTGTGTCTGAGAGCAATGTCTTATCTCTGTGACAGGTAAATTGGGATGGTCCACATTGAGATTGGGGTTGAAATTAGTGATTCAATAGTGCGCTTTAGGCAGTCTGCTCAATATTATTAATAAAATGATGCACAGGTTTGACAGTGATGTTTCTGTAAATTTTAAAAGCTGCTGCTAGTCTGTATGCAAAGTGAAGGGTGAGGACATGACATTGCATGTTAGAGTTTTGACCCCTTCAGTCGTTTTTATTACTTATAAGGAAGGATGGGCATTATTTGAAAGTTTTCAATACTAGTGTTGATTCATAACCTGACTTTCAGAACCAAAATTTTTTTCAGTAACTTCCTTTTAAGAAATACAAAAACTGTTTTTCACCAAACCCTTTGTCTCATTCAACAACAGAGGCTAAAACAGGAAGCCATTCAAGAACTTAAACTTCAACAAAATATATAAAAACTTTGATTTTCCTTCACATTAAAAGATTTTGGCATCTAGGGTGCTGGCTTAGAAGTTTGTGCCAAATGCCTTTTGTTGTTTTTTACCCTTGCCCCTCATTTCCGAGTACCCTTCTGCCCCCTGGAACAGAATTACAAGGGGTGATGGCTGAAATCTTCCCCTATGAAATGGGACAACCCTTTAAGACCATCATACGTCTGTTATCATCTCTTTGATGGCGTTTATGTAAACAGATGCAATTATGGCAATAATGGTATTATCACAATGACATTTTCCATTTATCTGATGGAGATAGAAAAGCATGGACGCTCACGGTTAATTCACATTTTAAATTTTACATTATCAATCGATCAAAAAAACAAACAAAAAACAAAACAAAGAACACTGCTTCATTACCAGGCCAAAGCTAATGTTGGCAGCCCGTGCTGCCAACATCAGTGGCAGTCTGCACTCATATTAAAGGATCGGTAACAAGTACAGCAACTTGCTTGCTGGTCTTTAGTTAAATTTGGGGTGTCGCATGCCATCAAAGGAGGACAATGTGACATGGAAATACAAAATGTCAAATTGCAGGACTGTCATGCACGAACCAACAATATCAGTGTAACATTAGCTAGTTAGCTGGTCAGCATACTACTGTACGAATGATTTTTTTGTTATGGTTGTTATAAAGAAAAAGACCATGATACACTGAAACAATATTAAACTAAGACATACGATGGTTATCATGATTTTTAAGTCTTTAATAATGAAGAAAATACTTCTGTAGGTTTCATTAGCTGCTTGTGCGGCCATCTTGCCATTAATTTCTCATAACATTAGGTTTGAAATGTGTCTCTGAAAAAGCTCTGTTTGGAGGGCATTGTTGCACTTACACTCACCCTTCCTCTTCACCCAAATAAGAAACAACACTGTACCCTTAGAAGTAAATGCACGAAACAGAGGTTTAAGGGCTAAGTGATGTAGGCAAGGGATGTTTTGGGATAGAGCCTTGTTGTTGTCATTTAACTTAAAATGTTAAAACCGAGTGCATATATAGGTCTGGCTCTGCGAGACTAGTTTCATGCAGCAACTGACATTTTGTAAAAGATGGCATGCAGGATGCATGTTACTGTCTAAAAGAAGAAGCCAATGACAGGCTTAAACCCACAGTCAACACACTGTGAGCCAAACTATACAAGAGTTAAAAGGTGTGTAAGGAGCGTAGCTATTTAAAGGGCAATTTTGTGTGCCCTTCTCACAACACCCATCAGCACAGGTGCATGTGATCTTTGTACTTGTGATCACACACCTAGCTGTGATTTTGCATTGCACAATAGTGCAGTGTACTGCTTAGTGTCAGTAGAGCATACAGCAACTGCTTAACCACAGCACAAGAAGGGCTATTCATTATTTAAAGTGTTAGACACTCCATGTAAGAGAAGAAATTGATGGTCATAAAGAAGTGGTAACAACATTCTGTACCCTAGTGAGTGGAAGATTCATGTAGATTTACATTCAGAGCAGTAATATTGCATGATTACATTAGTGTATACTATGAGCAATGCAAGCCAGCACAGCAACACACTAAAGAGTTTAGAGATGCACTGAGCAGTTTACCTGGAGGAGTGTGTTTGTGTTGGTCGCAGAGGGGCAGCGTTACATGTCCTGTGTGTCATCTGTTGTCTCTCCATTCTCTCTCTATCCACTACCGCTCTCCTTGCTCCTTTGTTAAATAGGGGATTATAACATGGTAATGAGAACTGTCAGCCTGTTCCTGCGGTGATAATGGAGTTCAGAGGTGGATGACATCGTCTCAATCATAATGGAATTAAGACAGGCTGAAAGAGCACAGACAGAGAGCAAGAGAGGAACGGGAGAGGAGGAGGGAGAGGGAGAGTTTAGAGAAAGGTTAGCAGACAGGAGGATGAAGCTCAGAGAATGACTGGTTTGAAGAATCTATATTATAATTCTGTCCAGTCGTTTTATTAAACACATGGGCACTCCTTCTAACACCATGAGATGATGGGCAGAAAAGGAACCAACTTAAGTGTGATCATTATAATGCCATTTAAAGGTGCCCTGTGTAGTTCTTGGCCACTGGGAGTGCTATGGAGCAATGTTTTTAAAGTGGGTTTTGCTTTGCTTGTACCATGCTCACACACACAAAGGACACACAAAACACATCTGTTGCCTGTTTCACGCCACTCCTCTTATCATGCAGCTCGGCAGCCCTCCAACAGGTCATTACACTAGGACTGTGTGAAGAATAAATACAATTTGTTAAAAAAAAATATTGAAATAAATACCTTATTGCCCCAGAGGCAGTGCCGCGCAGCAGAGCAACCTTGTCGATGTTTTTAGATTTCACATTAAAATAAATCAATCAGATCAATGAATCCTGTTGTTTAAACCATCCAGTTAAAAGATTCAGTACCAGTAATTACAGCCTATACGCTTCAAAACCCTGCATAACTAACTGCATTATCATTTGGGAAAACTCAATACACACAAAGTGAAACTGGCAACAACCAGAGATGAAGTCTGTGTAGAAGGTAAAAAACAGATCTGCCCCGCCTATGAGACACTTCGCAACTGTGCCCCATATATTTCTGCTGAAAGATTACGGTCTTGAAAATAGAAACACTAACAATGCAACTTTTAAAAAACACTTTGCAAATGTATTATTATTAAGGAAATGTATCCAGCACATTTGTCAAGTCCCAAAGATATACACAATGCATTCTGGTAAACTACACTAAATGCAAAGGCGACTGTGTTTGTTTACAAGAAAACTCCAGAGGGCACCAAGTTATTTATCAAGTAAAAATGACAAACCTCAGCTGCTTTCAGCTTCTTAAATGCTGCTTTTCTCTTATTTCGCATCAATGACAATGTGTTGTTAGATTCTTTTATGAGGAAAAAAAAGAGGGACGTTGTTATTTTTTATGCTTCTGTGTCAGCGATGTGTTTGAGGGTTGTCCGTCAGTCCATCTCATTCTTGTGAACATGATATCTCAAGAACGCCTTAAGGGAATTTATTTGAATTTGGCACAAACGTTCATTTGGACTCAGTGATGAACTGATTACATTTTGGCAGTCAAAGGTCAAGGTTACTGTGACCTTGCATCCGTCTCATTCTCGTGAATGTGGTATCTGCAAAACACCTTTAGGTAATTTTTTTCAAATTTAACACAAACGTCCACCTGGACTGAAGAATAAACTAATTACAATTTGGTGGACAAAGGTCAAGGTCAGTGTGACCTCACAAAACAGGTTTTTGGCTATAACACAAGAATTAATGTATGAATTATGAATTAATTATGACAAAACTTCACATAAATGTCTAACAGGATAAAATAATGAAGTAGTGACAATTTACACCCAAAGGGTCAAAGGTCAAATTCATTGTGACATAAAGTTCAGCAAAAACACTTTTCTTGTCATTACTAAATATCTCAGTAACAAAAGGGGAGACATTTGGTCAGATACTGAACTGGTGACACTAATCTTGGGTGTCCACCTTGAAACTGGGCTGATTGTGTGGATCATCTGTGCTACCGGAGGAAAGATGTGTGTTAAGCAGCCATGTTTTCACAGACATGAATATAAACTGTAGAGAAACCGGTGCTCAGAGGCATACAACCGCGGGCCAGAAATTCTCGTTACATTTAATAAACTAAGTTTAATCGCTGAATGAAAATTGTACGCACAGTCTGTTCATGTAACCTTATATCATAGCAGTAAAATGCATTCATCCTGTTTTTGTTTTGTTTTTTTTTGTTTTTTTTTACACAATTTCTTGATTTAATCTTTTACTTCCTTGTTTTCTGTAACCTTGTGATAGCACTATTTCTTGTACATGAGCGCTTCCTAAATTAATTTGACTTGTTCTGATTTAGTTTTTAATATTAGTCACGGCAGGCCCGACTTTGCACCTTGTTGGAGCTGTGCAGCGACTGCTCTTCAGTGCAATAATCCTGAATGAAGTTTTTAGGCCTTGAGCATGACAGCAAACATGAATGAGAAATGAGTGTGTTTGTTGTGATTTGGAGTGTGGGCCTGGGTGTTAGCCAGCCTGTTATGACATTTTATGCTCTTCTAAATAATACATCCATGCATTTATGTCAGTCTGCTCTGACTTGGCAATATCAGAGGGCTGTCAGCTCTCCACTGTGTCGAGTCTTGACAGATGTGATACCACTTTATATTATGTAGAATATATCCAGTGGGCATTTTTATACTTTACACCATGTGGAGACATTTCAAAAGGCTCTCTTCACATACCGCACTATTCCTCTTTCCTACCTCAATGTGAGTATATTTGTGTACCTGTATTTATGAGCTATCTATAGATGGAGAAGTAAAATAACTCTCTGTGCTTGTAGATGTGATTGGAGTGTGTAAGAGTGCAGAGGATGTATCCCGTATTACCACTAAGACCAGCAGAGAAGTCTCCAAGAGGGCCCTCGACTTAATAGACACAACTGGCAAAGTGGTGACAGTCACACTGTGGGGAGAGGAGGTAATAACTATAATCTCTCTCCCTCTCTTCTCCTCTTTCTCTCTTCATGCTCTCTGTCTGTATCCAGGGATGGATTTGTGATTTAACATAAAAACATGTTGAGCAGGCTGTAATTAATCTTGTGTTTATGAAGGTGCCCATCCGTCTATGTGTATAACATATGTCTGTGTGTGCTCTTGCATACAGAGCTGTTTGATTGGGTTTTCTGGGCTGTAAAATTTGGATTGGTCAAATCATTCTTGTGACCTTCAGGAGTGTTTTGGACCAGAGTCCCTGATTTGAGACGGAAGGCTAAATAACTCTCCAATGTGCATGAAATGGCACTATTCTTCTCTAAGCTCATTCAATCTGCAAGAGCTAATCCCTCCTCTTTGCCAAAATCCAAAAATGACTTTCAAATTAACTTGTAGGTTGTCCAATTATAAAAGCGAACTACACCACGTATTACTTTCTGGCTGCAGAAACAGACTGAACATATGAGAGACAATAACACGACTGCTTTTGCCGTCTCTTGTTCTCTATCATTGTCTCCTCAATTACTGTCTTTGACACAGTTTGTTCTTTCCCCAGGCGGAGAAATTTGACGGCTCTGGGCAGCCTGTGGTGGCCATCAAAGGAGCTCGCTTGTCTGATTTCGGGGGCATCTCTCTCTCTGCGTTGTTCAGTTCAACAGTCATGGTCAACCCAGACTTACCAGAGGCTTTCAGTCTGCGGGCCTGGTGAGTCACACTGGTGTGCACACATACACTGGTGCGCACATGCGTATTCATAAACACATACAGAATTGTGCACACATGCTGGCATGTACAGTGCACAGGGACATCCAATCACTTTGTCACAAGCATTGCACGACACGTTACGTGTTAACAGACGAATAAATCACCCTATAAATAGAGAAATTGTACCCTCTTGTTGCTGTTATGACTATAAATATAATATAACCTAAACACAGGGCATGCTCACGCACGCACGCACACACACACACACACACACACACACACACACACACACACACACACACACACACGAACAAACCTAAGTGCAGAGCCCTGATGATCACGTGCCAGGACACTGGTGGCATATGCCTCATCAGTCCCAGCGGGACTCTAGACAGGATGTAGACAGGAATGGAATGGATGGAGGGAATAACAAAAAAAGCAGAGCACGGGTATTTCTGGATTCCAGCTCTGAACTGTTACTGTACGTGCACAGAAAGACGGGGACACGGTGAGCCGCATCAAACTGGATTCTTATTAGCAGTTCCTGTGGAGGGATTTTAAATAATGACTCATTCACTCATTAAGGCTGTTCCCAAGTCTGGCCACCGCTGAAATATAAATGTGTTTTTTATTTTCTCTTTTTTTCCTTGCTTGTGTGTGTGTGTGTGTGTGTACATATCAATGCTTCAGTGTGTATGTGATTGCTTGAGTTACACTGAAAGCTATTCTTAGGCAGAAAACTGCATCAAACAGTGCACTCATTGCTTCAGAGTGCGAATACAGTAAATAAAAGTTTGGGTTTGTTGGTACCTGTGGGCATTATTCTGCTCACTCCTTCTGTCTGTAATGTCTGGTTTGTGGATTTGACTAACTGCTCCATGAACAAAAGCCATTTTTGTGTGTGTGCGTGTGTGTGTGTGTTGCATTAGTAATAACAGATACGTGTGTGTTTGTGTCTGTTAGAGAGAAAGGAGGCAGAGGCTCCATTGCTCCAGCTTTAATCTTGGTCTTATTAGTCTCTGGTCAATACACATCGCATCCTGACATTCAAAGGGCTAAATAACTAAAGAAAAAAAATGCGCTCCTCCTTCCTTTCATTCCTCCTTCCATTCTTCTCTAATCCCTGACTTTTCCCCCTCATCTCTGCTGCTGTTTGGTCCTCTCTCCTGTTTACACGCTGACAGCGGTGAAGGAATGACAATGAATGTTATTCAAGGAGCAGACCGAGTGTTTTCCACTCCTTTTTAACATGAAGATCTACAAAGACAAAGAGTATCTGTCTGACTCTAGTTCCTGTGGCGATGTGGTGCTTTGTGGGATTGTTTTGACCAGACTTGCTTGCATAATTGAAGGAAACTGATGAATTTGGATGATGCCTTGATTAGACTGCTCTGCTTGGCTAGAATACAGAGCAGGAGTCACGCTGCTGCATTAAGATTTTAAAGGGAATATTAAAAAGGTAGATAAATGAATAGATGGAGTGGGTACGCAAAACAAAAAGACAGGCAAGGTTTGTTTTTCTTTTTGCCTCAGCAAAGAAACGGTGTGTATGGACAAACATGTTTGCAAATATGAAAAGCTGATTGAAGTATGAATGTATTTGTTTGTGATAGACAGCCGTATGTCAGATGAAATAGATTGCAGGATACAGATGCAGTGGCTGTAAATCAGTTAGGGGATTAAGGGAGTAATTCAGTCATGGCTGAAGGCGGTTTCTATAGATAATAGCAGATACAGTGTAGTGTCTCCTTCACAGGAAAAAACTCAAAGGCTGTTAATGTAACACATCATATACATGTAAACAAACACACACAAACTCACCCGGTTTCACGCCCTCTTTTTTCACATACAGATAGATACTCTCTGGGACCTGTTCACAGATGACTAGTATCGATGGTGTGTCTTCTGTTGTTTAATTACCTCGCGTTCTCGAACACGCTGTTTGTATTTTTTTATTGGAAAACAAACCCTCCTTTTTTTCTTTTTGCCTTTCTACATTCTAAATAATGCATTTCAAATGTATGTGTGTTTGTTTTGGGTTTACAGGGGTGTTTATGCATACATTTATTTGTACCTATGTGCTGTGTGTTTTAATGTCCATGCTGTAGGTACGACCAGGGAGGTTTTGCGCTTGCCAGCCAATCCCTGACAGAGACGAGGTCGGTGGGCAGCGGAGCAAAGACAAATTGGAAAACACTGAGCGACATTAAGAATGAAAACATGGGAAATGGAGAGAAGGTGCAGTGCATACACACATACATAAACCCTCTGACCAGAATTTAAACACACTGTGACAGACAGAAAAGTGACAATTTAAAGGGTTGGGTGTATGTATCCATCTGTGTGCAGCTAATCTTGCAAACTACTGGACCAGTCAGCCTAATAATTTGTGTATATGTCTATGACTGCATGCTCTAGGATTTCTTGGTTTTGCTGTGGTTCACAATTGCTGAAAATCTTGTTTCATTTATGTTGTATACCGTCATTGACTGCTGACTCCTCACCCCTCTTCACCGGCCAGTTAGGGTCACAAGTTTTTCAGAAATAGCCTTGGCTAAAAACAACAAGCCTTACCTAGTCTGTTGCAGACTACATTTTGGCATTCGTCGTGGCTCAAAAACTGGAATCTACACAAGATCGTCATCATTTTTTAACCAGAGCATCTGCAAATTAAATCCATACCTGAAATAAATAAATCACCATTTACCCTGGCTGCCATCTTGATTATAAGGAAGCTGTGAGGGCCAATATTACTGGGCACAGCTGCGCCATGTACTGGCTGCGACCAGTTTTTGTTCAGTCATTCACACAGCATCATACCACACCAGGAGTGCAGAGCGCTTTACCTGTCTGATTTATTAGACTTGTGGATTTTGTTAATTTGGTCATTTTTCCTCATATTTGTGCTTCTACCCTGAGTAAGTGAGAAGACTTACTTTGTTCATCTGTTTTAGTTGTGTTTATAGTTGTTATTTCCTACATTGAAGTCCAGTTGTGAACAATATGGGTCAAAGATCTATGGCAGTGTTGTACCTACTAAAAATACATTTATCCTCATATCATATTTTCTGAAATGAGCTGCGGTGCATCTGCTAGAATTACTGGAATTACAAGAATTGTCTAGAGTGGCTGTGATCAGCTCAGGTACCTGGAACACGGCAGCCTGATGGAGATTTGCACTCTACTGAGTGCACTTTTCTAATTTAGTCTGTAAAATACCAGTAAATCTATTTTTTTAAAAAATACCTGTAACAGTTTTTATTTAAGCTCAGTGTGTCACCTTCAGATATCTAATTTTTCCCAACAAACTGTCCAACACCAAAAGATATTCAGTTTGCAAATAATTGGATATAACAAGAGAATGTTTGGAACTTTTGCTTCAAAAGTAATTGCGGATTAATTTAATCAACGTATCCATCCAGCCCTACAATGAAATTATGACTAAACCTGTCCTTAAGCCAGATGTAGTTTTTATTAATGAAGTTGGAATGCACACTTTGTTTGTTCTTTATTAAAACACTCTGAAAGAACTTAAAATAATAATAAAGACGACTAAGAGGAAAGAATTGCAGGCAATGAAGATGTAAACTAAGGTCTTTATTTCACTGAAGAATTTGCATTTACGGTATTTTTGTTTCATTGGCTTTGGTTGTAGATTCAGGCCCCTGTTTGATTCAGTGTAGTCCACAATAAAGGGCCAGAATGTACCATAATGAAAGCCATAAACAACTGCGATACTTACAATTCAACTTGTTTTTTATTTGGCTGTGTAGGTTTAGTTTTAAATTGGTGTACTCTTTTGCAATTGAGTCTCAGAACTGGGGATCTACAGCAGATCGGGTGGAAATGAATCCATGAGGTGTGTAATGGCAGAAAGTAAATATAGTTATTTGTGTTGCAGTTTTAGTTGGATCTCTAAGCTGGTTCTTTCTGAAAACTTTGGCTGGAAGCAGATTGATATGTGAGTCAGAAAATCCCTCTCTCAGTCGGGCAGCTGGCTGCTGTTTGAAGACGAATGAAAGAAGCCTCTGCAGATGACGTAACATGAGCATAGCTACAGTACCACAGAGTTTGATAGCAGAAAATCTTTCAACGTTGTAAGACAAGCGCAGTAAACACAGGGTTTTGGTGTCAGTCCCTGAGAATCAAATCACTGTTTTGCACCAAAGTTTTGCAGTCACACAGGGACAAATCCATCATGTTGATGGACTTAGACGTCAAGAGTGCGACTCAAGCATTTTCTCGGCATATTTCACTTACTGCTGAATGCTTTCTATAGCTGCACATATGGTTTAACCCACAGCTGAATTCAATTGGATTCCTTTTGGAAAAATGTAGGAAATCACAAAGTAGAAAGTGACATAAGGTGCGCTGAAAACAATCACTGCTACTAAACATTACAGGGTCATAGCACATAACAGTTAAATGGTTTTTGGCCTCTTATTTAAGACTATCAGAGAATATTTTCTGTGAACAGACATGGATTTAGTCAGTCTTATTTGAATGTAAGCGTTTAACCAAACACAAATCCACAGTCAGTCTTCCATTCATTGTAAATAGAGCAGCTCTAGGCTGTGCCTTTCTATGACTTCATGGATTAGAGTCATGGTTCTCTTGTTTTAGCTGTGGGAGGGAGATAGTGATGCTCACATATTAGCAGCGCTAGTTGAACTGCCTTATGCCGTTGGAGGAGCATGTGAGAACTCTCAAATTGAACCTTGTGCCATTTTAAGAAGTGTCATCGCACAGAATTATGCGATGCTTTCGACTAAAAGCAGAGTAAATGTAAGTGGTATGTGCCACTCATAAACTTTCTATCTAATTAATTAGGTTTATCGCCGACTAGTCTCCCTCATCCCTCGCGTTTAATTAGAAGCCACTTACGGGCAGCTTCAAGATCAATGTCGTTTCTAATGAAAATTTCTAATTATGTGTTGGAGTTTGAGGAAGCCTATAGGGCATAACATTACCAGAAGGGAAGTAGTGCGGACGGAGAACGTGGGAGAATGAGAGACAGGAAGAAAATCTAGGCGCTTAAACTTCATGTCACTGACAAACCTGCATTGAAGGATGGAAAGGAACAAGGCCACAGGAAAAAAGAAGTCAACTAAGAGACTCCAGACTGAGAGAGAGAAGTGACAGAGGTTATTTAGAAAAGTAGGAACAGTTAACCGGGAATAGAAAAGAAAAAGCTGAGAATGTATAAATAATTTAAGCTCTGATTTTTTTCCCCCTCTCTTTCTTTTGCCTTTCCTTTTTCTCTTGGTCTTGTCCTCTTTTCTCTCTCTGCCCTGTGTACCCCCAACCGTTTCTGTAATTGAACAGCTTTAAGGAGGTTGTCTATCACCCACTCTGTGGCTGCAGCTTCAGTAATAATAATGAAATCCAAATCATTAGCTTATACTTTGAAGGAATCTAATTTGTCATTCTACCTGTTTGCCTCTATGTATGTGTGTGACTCTGACTCTGTTTGTGTGCGTGTGTGAGTGCGTATGTGTGTGTGTGTGTGTGTGTGTGTGTGTGTGGTTGTGTGTGGTTGTGTGTGTACAAGCCATTTCTAATTAATGTAGCAATGTGTGTGTGTGTGTGTTGGGGTTTTGGGACAAGCATTAAAGTTGGCATGTGCAGCCACGTCAATTATGTGAAGTAGATTTTCACTTGGTTGCCCTTCCACATACAAATTTTAATTGCATTTAGGTGCCAGAAGGTGACACAGGGATTTGTTGTGATAAGAATGAAAACTATTTTCAGACTTTTAGGTGTGTGTGTATTTATGTGTGAGTGTGTACGAATCTTTAGGTAAGTCTGCGCGCATATTTTTGTGTTTGTGTGTCTCTGAGCATTTTTTTTGTGTGTGTGTGTGTGTGTGCAGCGTTAGTCGTGCTGCTCTTCCAGGTTTTCCTCAGTGTGCTTAAGGTTAAGACTTTGCCCCAAGGCTTCTGTGTACACACTGGAATACAGAGGGAGATGAAAAAAACACAGAGTAGAAGAAGAAGGGCAGAGATGATGACAAATGCAGGGGGGTTTATTTGGAGTGGTCGAGTTGTGATGGAAGTGCTGTGGTCCAGGTCCTGCTGACCTCTATCCTCACATTCTCTGTAGCATCTGCCAACATCACGAGCCTTCAACAGTCCCCCAAAGAAATCGTCCTGTTCTCTTCTTCCTGCCACGTCCACCCTCCTACCACCTTCCCCACCCATCGCCTTCCCACCTCTTCAGCCTTCCAGCGCTCCAATCTGCCCAAGTCTGCAAAATGTGATGAGGCAGGCATGCGGGCGGAAACATGGGAGTGGAGTGTTGAGGGGGAGAGCGCCGTTGCTAACGGGAGAAATTCTCCTAATTAAAAAAAACCTTCTTAGTAAGTGTTTCGGAGGGTTTCTTGCTGTGTGGCATGGGTACTGGGTAGATGGATGGGTGGACAGATTATGACGATGTGAGTCAGTGTTAGCTGGCGGGGAGAAAGTGTCAGAGAGCTCTAAGTCTGACTGACAGTATCTGTGGAGGTCATGGGGACACAGGACAACATCAACCATCTCACAAGGGATGCAGAGAACACAATGGCCTTTTCACATTCACTGCTCTTACTGAACACTTTACAGAAAGTGTGGGTTGTATAACGGAGGCAGCATTGCTCAGGCGGTGTGTGTGAATTTGGCCAGCGTCCTAGAGAGAGTCTTTGATAGACTCATTTAGGCCAACATTAGTAATGAGTCTGGCCCAGCTCTTGCTTGTAGTTGTTGTTTAGAATGCATTTTAAAGCATTTCATTTTAAATGCTGGCTGTAATTCCAACATCTTGTTCAAGGCATGCTCTCCTGGTAGAAGAAATACCCTCTGGTGAAGCTAGGAAAAAAGATTTTTCTGAGGTTTCTTCCACGTGCATGTATATCATATTTATCGCTTTGTGCTTGTTTATATCATTGTGTGTGTGTTTGCATGCAGGCATGTACACGTGCCTCTTCCCAACGAGACACAGTTCATCTGGTGTGTGCATTATTTATATTTATATTTATGGAAATCGAATGCTGTGCTTCTCCACAGGATGAGAGAATAGCCTTTTTTCTCCTAGAATTAGCATTTCTTTCCTTTTTAGCTGTTGATTTTACACAGTGTGAGTTCTGCCGCTTTAGGTGCTAATATCTGTTTAAATTACAGCAACATCGCTGCATTTTAATTTGATTCTGTTTGACTGTGTACACTTAAATTTAAATTCATAACTGAAAGAAGTTTAGCCCATTGTATCTGTATTGCTAATGTGTAAGTTTTGGTCTTTGCACATAACCCAGCATGTTAGGCATGTGTGTGTTGGTGTGCTGGTGCGCTGGTGTGTGTGTACAGTAGCACCATTTGTGTATTAGAGAGGGAGAGAGAGATTCATCTCATCCTGCATCTATTATGCATAGAACTCTCAAACTCCCTCTGCTCTCTTTTTAAACTGTTCCAAGATTGTTTGGAAGTCAAATAGAGATGTGTAAACAGTGTGCATCTACCAGCTGGACTGAGTTGTTGGCAACAGTTTTACTGATGATGCCAAGTTTGATCTGAGTTTATTTTTATTTTATTTAATGTTTCTCTTTTCACCCTAAGCCGCTTATTTATTCGCATTATTTAAACTGTTGAAGGATGTCCTGCCTGCACTAGAAAGAGCACTTTTGCTCCTCGTTTCTTATGGGTTTTTTTTCACACTTAAGTTTGATTGGCTTTTTGTTTCATGGCATTTGCTGTGTGCTGAAATGTTGTGATTTAAAAATACCAAATAATGATTATACAAGAAAATACCAAAAGAGTGAATGTTTCTAGTTCAGTGGGATTGATATCACAGCAGTGATGCAGGCGCTGCGCCGGACTGTCGTGGTGAATAGGGAAATGAGTTGGAAGGCGAAGCTTTTGATTTACTGGTCGATCTACATCCCAACCTTCACCTTTAGTCATGAGCTCTGGGTAGTGACCGAAAGAGTCAGATCGTGGATACAAATGGCTGAAATGAGTTTCCTCCGTGGGGTGGCTGGGCTCAGCTTTAGAGATAGGGTAAGGAGCTCAGACATCCTTAGGGAGCTCAGAGTGGAGCTGCTGCTCCTTCACATTGAAAGGGGTCAGTACAGGTGGTTCGGTCATCTGATCAGGATGCCTCCTGGGCACCTCACACTGGAGGTGTCTCGGGCACGTCCCACTGGTAGGAGGCCCCGGGGCAGAACCAGAACACGCTGAAGGGATTACGTATCTCATCTGGCCTGGGAACACCTTGGGTGTTTCGGAAAGCTGGAGAGAGGGATGTCTGGTGTGCTTTGCTTGGCCTGCTGCCCCTGCGACCTTGCCCCGGATAAGCAAATGAAAATGGATGGATGATATCACAGTGTAAATGTGAATCACATCTGCACACTTTCTGTACTGATGGCAGCGTTATCTTGACATAATGGTCCTGAATGAATGCCCTGTACAGTTACCATGTACGTCATGCATCACCTCATGATGACAGCACAGTCTGGTTGGAACTGGAATTTGTCTGACCAGACAAAGTTTTCAGTTATCAGCAGTGTTTTTGCTGATGTTTCTTTGCCCACTACAAATGTGTTTTAGTTCATGGTGGGCAGGAGAGCTGCTCTTGGAGCTCATCAGCTGTTCTACCCCAACAGAAAAAAATTTAAAGCCTTGCATGTTCTAAAATTGGTCACCGTACCCGACCACTGTTTTGTGATTTTGACTCTTGTACTGTGGACGAGTGATTACTCATTGTGTGCTTACGGCCTGAGCCACCTGGTGTCTTGTTAATTTACCAAGATGCAGCCACCTACATAACAAACACTTTGATGGCGCGTCTTGTTGTGGTCACTTCAATTTACACCTTTTGAAGATTAGCTTTTGAAAAGCTTAGCGACTGTTTTTGCAGTGCTCATACCTATTGTCACTGAAATCACATCTGTTGTATATCCTGTCAGTGTAATGACATGTACAGACAGAAAGAGTGGATCTGCTTCTTCAGGAGGTTTTCTATTTTTAATTACACAGCCTCAAAATGAGATAAAGCTGGTACCTCCACCAGAACCTACCGACTCTTAATTTATTTATATAGGAAAACAAGTTTTAAAAACATGCCATGTTCTAAGCAGATAGTGTGAAAATTGACAGATTGTTTCAATGTGAACAATAAAGAGGCTCTGTCTTCAGAAATTTACCATGAACAATTTTTAAGCTAGGAGGTCCATAATTATCTGTTGCGATTGCATGAGTGGAATAATCACACGTGCTGCGTAATTTACAGCATATAATTCACATGGCTGTACACACACACACACACAGCCTGAAATGTGAAGCTGTTTTATGTCTGTACAGTGAAGTTGACTTGAATTCCTGATGCAGTTTATTTTTTCCCATCAACAATGCAACTGAAAATATCTTGGTAACACAGTTTTACTCAAGTCTAAGACTCCAAGAAAATAATCAGATGGGTATGGCCATGAAATTGTAATGAATCAAGGCAACTATAAGGCAGTCACAAAGACGGCTACAGTTATCATCATGTTTTTAACATCTGCCTGCAATACAAGCAACCACCAACACAGTCCGTCCATCCGTCCTATCCTTGTAAACGTGGTATCTCAAGAACTCCTTAAGGGAATTTCTTTAGATTTGGCACACATGTCTACTTAATAGAGTCAACAATGAGTTTTTAGTGGTCAAAGATCAAGATCACTGTGACCCTGTCCATCTCATTCTCGTTAACGTGATATCACAGGAATACCTTGATGCAATTTCTTCAAATTTGGCACAGACTTGGACTCAGCAATGAAATGATTAGATTTTGGTGGTTGAAGGTCAAAGGACAAGGTCACTGTGGCCCAACAAAATATGTTTTTGGCCATAACTCATTCTTATGCTATGATTTATTATGCTAATTATGACAAAAACTTTACACAAATGTCTTATATAATGAAATAATGAAGTGATGACATTTTATATCTCAAAGGTCAGCTTCACTATGACATAATGATATTCTGCTTAAACCACTTTTCTGGCTGTTACTCAGTGTCATATCTCAGAAACAGAAAGGGAAACATTTGGTCAGACACTGAATTAGTGACACTAATCTCAGGTACCCACCTTGAATCAGTGCTGACTGTACAGATCTTATCTGCTGATGGGGTGAAAATGTGTGTGAGTTATCTGTGTTTTCACAGACATGGATGTAAACTGTAAGAGAAACATGACTAGTGTGCAGAGGCATACAGCCACGGGGTGGTAATTCTAGTGGGTTTTTTTTAGACTTCTACAGAAATTTTTAGAAAGATATTTGACATGTATTAGAAATGTCTGCACCTTGCTCAACATACAACCCCCATAGCAAGTAACTGTACCTAAACAAAATATCAGTGGCAGATCAAGAGAAAGCACACATACACACCCACATATCAGGAGAAGTGTGACGTGTTTTACTCGGGGTGCATGTATAGGCTAAATAAAACATGGATTCAGATCATTTTAAGTAATAAACAATTTATTAGATGAGAAAACTATGAACTATTTTAGATTTGAAATATTTATTAAATATGAAACCCTTGTTTTAGATCACTGAATTAGATGATACCCTTACCCTTCCTATACTATCACTTCCTTCCTGCAGGCAGTTTTCCTGTATTCTCCCAATCTGCCACATTTTAGTGCTTTTAGGACCAATGTTAATTAGCTGTTGAATAGTATATATACTGCTGAATCAGCTGTACAGAAGCAGCATATACTGCCACATTATGGCATTTTCACTGTTGCTGTTACAGCTGTTAAATGTCACAAAGTGATACATTTATAGCAGTGCTCTTGAAACATGTCTTGTCAGGATTTCGTTAAGGTGGCATGTAATTTGACGAGACAGCCACCATTCTCTGCAGGAGCAACCTGGTGCCACTAAGGGTAGAATAAAATGTTCAAATTGAAGCACAAACATTCCCTATAAGTAAATGATAGCATTTAAGGCTTGTTTGCTTTGGTGGATTTTTCCAGTGTGTACCTTGATTTGCAGGTTAGATTTCTCCTCAGCATAATATTGTGTAACAGGGCAGCACCTGCAAATTAACTGCAGCCACTTAGACGTTCAAATTGCAGCAGTTTGATGTGATTTGGTAGTTTTTTTTATTGATCTCACAGTTCTAACCCTATAATTGGATTTCTTTCTGTCCCATTTTTGTTCTCTGTGCTCAGGCGGATTATTTCAGCTGCATAGCGACAGTGCTGTACACTCGTAAGGAGAATTGTCTATACCAGGCCTGTCCAACTGCAGACTGCTACAAGAAGGTCATCGACCAACAGAATGGACTGTACCGCTGCGAGAAGTGTGACCGAGAGTTCCCCAACTTCAAATACAGACTCCTGCTTTCTGTAAGTTTATACAGTGCACATCGTTGGCTCTTGTTTGTCTCACTGCCTTTGAGGAACATTGTAGTTTCTGCATTCACATATGCACACAGTCTAACGTACACACATGAATAATCTCTGGCCCCTTCATCATCTCTGTCTGTCTGACTCTCAGGCCAACTTGGCAGACTTCGGGGATAACCAGTGGGTGACATGCTTCCAGGAGACAGCTGAGGTCCTGTTAGGTCACAATGCAGACACACTGGGACTGCTCAGAGAAACAGTGAGACACGCACACACTCATTCACACACACACACGGATATGCTACCACACACTGTTTTCCTTAAATTTGTTTGTTTTACATCTGTTAAGAAAACTGCCTCTACAATTTATCTAGGCGCTCTAACTATAACAGACTACTTCCTGTAAACCTCTGGCCTTGACTTTGTCTTTACATTGTTTTGTGTGCATGTGTGTGTTCCTAAAGGACGAGGCTGCATTCGATGAAGTCTTTCAGAAAACCAACTTCACAACTCACATCTTTCGAAACAGGGTCAAGCTGGAGACGTACAACGTAAGTAGCCATAAACTGGAGCACAATAGAATGTGATACAATGCAATGCAATTTAGTTTCCCAGGAATAAAAGAGCAGAATGTAATGACGTACAATGCCGCTCATCATTGTCCTGCAAGCTGTGAAAAATTTTCCAGTGATCTCTGCCTTGCAGGAATACTCGACCCAGACTGGTTAGTGCATGTCTGTCACAAACAGCTGTCTTATCACTGTTCTGAATACACCAGCAGTACACTAATAATGGTCCTGGGAAAATGGGCTTTCACAATAACCAGGATTGCAAACAAATGTCATTGTTGTATAAACAGTAAATGGACTCATTTAGGGTCAATTTCACAATCAGACAAAAAAAAGTTGGACGAGCTACAGTATATAGACCTCAGCTCTGTGTGTGTGTGTGTGTGTGTGTGTGTGTGTGTGTGTGTGTGTGTGTGTGTGTGTGTGTGTTTGTTTGTTAAAGCAGTGTCTTTCAAATGACAGCTTCCACATTTCAGTTATGAAATTGTCATTGGAAATTGCAGCACTTAGTGTTTATCGACCGCAAAGGTTCTGATTTTGCCAGACAAAAGTAGACCTTCCTCTGTCAAGTTTCTGGTGATGAATAAAAGGATGATGGGTACAACATGATGAGAGGGCAAAGCTTGAAGTGTTTACAGATTTAGTACAGTGAAAAGTGTTTATAATGATCATGGTTAAGGCCCAGACACACTTAACCAACAACAAAGAGCTAGTGACGCCATAGGTCGATTATTTCGTTACTTTTCGTTGCCTGGGTCTCAGCCAAAAAGTTGCACTTGAACACACCACAAAGACTACAGTCAACGACCAGCTAGCACTTACATTCTGCACCTGCATGAGAGGAAATAACTTTGTATTCGTCATTCAAAAAGGGAATGTGGAAGACTGACAGGATGGATTCAATATGCTAATTAGCTAGTTAGCACATTAACAACACAACCTGATGTTGAAAGAACAAAGAAAATTTAATGTGCAGTAGTGAACAGTAACACTAACAATAACCGTTTCTGCTAAAGAGCTTGATGGCTAAAAAAAAAAAATCTTACCTACTCAGAGAGACCTAATCACCACCTATATGGTTCGAAGAGCTTGGGACAGAATGTTCTCATACAGAAGCTGCTTATAGTAATCAAGTACTCCCCTTTCAGTGTTCATTTTGAGTCTTTTCATATTTAACAACACATGGAAAAACAAATTAAAACTATGCTTCTATTTTTTTCTACTTTCCTTCCTTGGTACTTTGTCTTGCAATAACCTGCCTGCTTCCAGCTGACTGAGACTGGCGTTGCGTGCATATTGCATTCATAACGGAGGAAAGAAAGTCATAACTCTAAGTGGTTTCCTCTGTATTTTGATGGCACCTAGTATTTACTGATCTGCAGCAGCCTTTAGGATGAGTCAGTAGCAGGCAGAAGTGGAAGGGATGCTTTCCAAATAGTGAATATCATAAAGGTGTACAAGGAGCTTGCATGATTAAAAACTTGACAATGAATACTGCAAGTCAGCACTAATTGTTTGTATGTGAAGCATCCCCTGGTGATAAAATGTGATACGTCGAGGTGTGTTGTTTTAATTAATAGGCTGCATGCCATCCATGAATTTCTAACAACCAGACTTGCCGTCAGTTATTATCTTCGGTTGAACTGCGGTCCCAAGCATGTAGAGCCACAAAACAAGATGTGCAAAACTCAACATAATCACAACACACTGTCAGTCACACAACATGAATCCAAAATCATTTCAATTAGTATCACAGTGACAAGGGACTTGTTATGTAGCCAGTGCACTTTGGATAACGGAAAACAAATACAGCTGTGGATTCATTTCTCTTAATTAGGCGCTAATTAGCATTTAGCTATTGTCTGTCTAAGCCTAATTAGCTTAATTATTCAGAGGCTAATTTGCTACTAGAGGCACATACCGAGAGGCTGAGTAGAATGATTGAGATGTAGGATGAGCTCTGAATGGTCTGTGTCCTGACCTCAAAAAGACCTACAAAAAAATGCTATGCAAAGTTCATAAACTGTTTTCCATAGTCTGAGAAATAATGAAACCTTTTTGATGAGGAGTCACACAAAGTCTGGGGAAAGTATTGTACATACAGAGGCACCTCTTCTCTGTTGCTGTGTCATTTATCATAATGGTGATATTTGTCGCAGTGAAGAGGAAAACTTCACTTACATGTCTGTTTACAGTAAATGTCAGCACACCACTGCTGCTCACCATGAACGACAAAAAGCCTGAAACCTCACTTGGAGATGCTGGAGGCTGCAATTTTTATCAAAGCCCATAGAACAGAAGTGTTGATCAGAGCAAACAACATACTGATGATTTTGAATTTATTATAGCCAGTAGTGAAGCTCAACATACAGATAGACCTCAGGGCTGAATTACAGGTAGAGTCATGGGGTACGAGTGCGAATGCTCTCTTTAAATCATCCTCTGAGAAATAGCCATAGCAAAGTTTAGTGGCAATCTGGACTTAAAATGCAAAACAGACAGACAGACAGACAGACACACATTGCAATCCAGATGGAAAAAAAGAAAATATGTTAACGGTGTTATCTTGGCTGTTTCAAGTAATCTCCCGTACAATTGAGCTGCTTTCTCACGTTCAAAACAATTTGAGTGCTCACTGTGATAGAAATGCACAGAAATGCACAATGCATCTCCTAAACTAAGGACAAAAGGAGGGTGTCAAATGAGGGGCAGTTTTACATGCAGTTGAATGCACTTAATGTCTGTACTTGTCTGTGTGATGCTCTTTACGTCTGTTTCTGCACTATGTATGTATTTATTTTTTATTTATGCCCATGACCAATTTCCTTAGTGACAAATAAAGTAATTTTGCAATTTTTACACGTCCTACATCAAATCAGTTTGACATGACAGCCCATTAAAAAATGGCACTTTTCATCAAAGTCTGTATTTAGTGGTGCATGCCTGCATTTGAAGCAAGGAGAGACAGATGTGTTAGTTTAGTTAACGCTAGACCCACTCTAATCTACAGCTGTAATAGTACAAATATGTGTGGGTTGGGGTAAAGTTGACATTTACTGTCAAGATTATTAAACCGTTAGCCTGCATTTACTAATATTTATCAGTTACTTTACAAAATCCACATTAGCCACTATTCACCTCAGTACTAATAATAAAAAACAGTTGTGAATAACACCAGGGGCAAATAGATACATAGTACGTCAAATGCAGTATGCCAGAAATACGATGATGTTCTACAACATCCAGTCCGATTTTGCAGTGTGCAAGCCAGCATGCTTTTCCGGCTGTTCTCACCCACAATCCTCTGCACAGCAGAAGATACGTCACATCAGCTGAGCCACAAACAGATGTCAGTTTGACAGCTCATTCACAGCTGTTTGACATCTGATTGACAGCCGTCAGAAGCTGCAATGACAAATAACAGTGTATTCAAGTAACTGATGACCAGTCAAACAGTAATAATAGGAATATTAATTGACTAAGTGAACAAAATAACCATTAATATTACGAACAACAATAGGACATAACTAATGCAGATGTAATTTCACCATTGCAAATATAATATGTTAGAATCTACAATCTGTGCAGTTAAAGTTTAAGTTAAAGGGATAGTGCACCCAAAAATTCAGCCATTATCTACTCACCCATATGCCGAGGGAGGCTCAGGTGAAGTTTTAGAGTCCTCACATCCCTTGCGGAGATCCCAGGGGAGAGGGGGTAGCAACACAACTGCCTCTCTGTACACCGTGTGCGCTTGCACGAGACCGTGAGACATGGGCACCACTATCATGTGTGTTCACGTGCTTTTGCTGGTCTTGCGCGCAAGTGCGCACACGTGAGCGCGGTGCACAGAGAGGCAGTTAGAGCTACAGGCTACAGTGAGGCTAAAAACAGAGTTCAAATGATGTTTTTCCAAACAACTTTTTATATTGGAGCTTCAGGACCGGATCACTACGGACGAGCAGTATGGAGACATTTTTTGGTTTCAATTATGTGTTTTTTGGACATTTTAATCTGGGGCGCCGTAAGTCTGCATTAGACGTTGTGTTGCTACCCCCTCTCCCCTGGGATCTCCGCAAGGGATGTGAGGACTCTAAAACTTCACCTGAGCCTCCATCGGCATATGGGTGAGTAGATAATGGCTGAATTTTCATTTTTGGGTGCACTATAAAACTAGATACATGGCAAAGTAACAACTGCAGATCTTTGCTGGTTGATCTTCATCTCTGGCAAATTCAGTGAGTGGTGTTTGTTTTATCTCCAATGTGTGCAACAGTGTGTACTTTTTAAGAGCAGCTGCAATACCTACTAAAGTTAAAAGAAAAAGTATGCAATTCCCCCAAATGTAAGGGAAAAACTGGATATTTAGTGCTATTTTTGACAGGATTTTTTCGGCCCAACAGGGGTTCCTGTTGGCCTGTAAACTTGTAAGGGAAACACTGAATAGCTGTAGAATAATGATGCCATCGGCCTTTAGATTGGTTTCCTATAATCCTCCTCACTGTCACTGTTTGCCACTGGGTGTGACATCCCACGAAAATTGAGGTTCAGTTTACAGCAAAAAGGAAGTGCATCAACCATTGCGCAACCCAACAGTTATTGGTAGCTTTCCCCAATTATCAAAGAGTAGCAGTTTATATTAGAAAGCCCTAACTGTGTAAAGAGTTTGTCTGTTTATTGCATTACAAGGTTTTTTTTTGCTTCATAGAGACAGAGCACAACATGTCACACTCTGTAAACCACTACCAGTGGAGGGGAAAACTGTCAGCGCCACAATATACAACCAATGGCTGAAAAGCTAACCAGATGCCTATAGCTAGCTTAAAACACTACACATCAGAATGTCAAAGGATTATTTTGGCCCCCTGTATCTTACCTTGCTTATCTCGGAGAAATGATCTCATTGAATGGCCAGAAGTGACATACTTTGATATTTACAACTATTTGATTGAATCACCAGGTAAGATCATCATCATTTAAGC